CTCCTCTGGACATGCTCCAGCAATGCAACATCTTTCCTGTAGTGAGGGGCCCAAAACCAAACACAGTATTTGAGGTGCAGCCTCACCAGTGCCGAGTACAGGGACATGATCACTTCCCTACTCCTGCTGGCCACACTATTCCTGATACAAGCCAGGTGTATTTGGGGGTGCTGAATAGCCAAAAGAGAGGGAACCATCTGCATTCTAAGACTGTGCTGGCCTGGGTCAAAATTCATTCACACACATGAAAGTGAACCCACAAGTGGAATTCACCTCAGTGCGAACTGTCACCTGCCTCCAGGTGACTTACCACAGAATCATAGAATGTTTTGGGTTGGAAGGGACCTTTAGAGGTCATCTAGTCCAACTCCCCTGCAGTGAGCAGGGACACCGCTAACTAGATGAAGTTGCTCATATTTAGTTAAAAAAAAAAAAAAAAATCATACTTATGTGCAAGGCACGCACATTACCTGGTACCCAACCTGCAAACGGGGTTGGACGCGACTGTGTCTGTGAGGTTACAGGAGACCTTCCAGGAGAGACAAAAGGTGCAAGTTATTTTGAAGGACTAATGTAAAAATCCTAAGTAGTCCCATTAAGGTAATTTTAATTGCTCATAATACTACCGCTAGCTAAACATTGTTTCAGCCAATTTCAGTAAAAATGATGCCAAAAAGAAAATATTTGGTATTTTTTGGGCAGTGGGGGTTGATGTTAAAGCTTTGTTACTCTGTGTTTTGGCTGGGAGTCCAAACTCCCCCCCGCCAAATCCATTTCTAGGGTTGGTGGGAGTTTTGGCTACGTTAAGGACTTAAATATGACATTCCACTGCGCTAACTTGATTTTGTTGTAATTTCCTTTTCATTATAACCCATTAATGAAAGCACTCAGCAATCTTGAAATACAGTTCTGCACACAGCCCTGACTGATTATGCCACTCTGCTTTAGATCTAATAAACTCAGCATGCAGAAAAACAACCGAGCACAAAATACGGTGTATTAACAAGCACTAAAGCTCACTTGCTTTTTTTCAGTTTCCCAGTTTCCACCTGTGAGTTGTTATCTTGGCTCTAGGTCCTAAGGCAGAGCCCCCCTCATCCTTCCTGTACCTGCAACTCCCTACCACATTTTTGGTGCTACGTACACAATATGTATATTTAATGCTGCCACATGTGTCAGGAGTCCGTCCTGTTGTTTTGCTTGCGGGGGGCGGATGGGTGCATCGTGTTCTGTACGATGACATCAGACAGCGTTACAGCATGATTCAAAGCTGCCGTAGTCATTTACTCCATTTTCCTGCCCGCAGCAAGAGTCACAGGAAGGATTTCTGGGCTGGGGAGCTGTGCTGTGACGAAATGCCTACGGGGTGTGTAGCAACAGAGGTGCTGGGATACACTGCATCGCCGTGGGGGTGCGCGTGTGGCCACATTCAGAAGGCCGATTTTCTGCATGAAAAGACAAAGGCAGCTCCGCAGAGGAATTCAGGTGCATAAAAGCGTCTTAAGGGACCTAATTCCCATTCAACATAATTCACTAAAAGCTACGTAGGTGTTTGTTTACAATTTTCTGAACATGATGTTGAATAAACCCTTATTTCTTTTTTTAAAGGGCAATGAGGACTTAAGAATGGAAATTTTGGCCTCTGAAATGCCCTGAAGAAAATTTTTAGATGGGCTCTGCCAGAGCCTGTGTGATTTGATGGCACAGTACGAAATTCCATCGTTGTGATGGAAAACTGAAAGCTGAAAAAATTGAGCAAATAACGATCCAAACCCAAAGCATGCAAGTTCAGCAAGCTTTTTCAGCTTGTGGTATCAAGAAGATTTTAATTTACTGAAAAGTATTAATTATTTGACTTTATGTTTTGAATATCATAAAAACATTTATTCAAACTGTAAATTTTGGGATGGATTAGCATTAGCTATGGCTCACTGTGGCATCTGGTGGCATGTGGCCACTCCAGCGATACAGAAGCTCTTCCAGTAAGAATGCTTGCATGGATAAAGGAAAATTCATGTGATGTGGGAACCTGCTCAGCCAGCTTGGAATTCATGTTTCAGTAATATTTATACTAGTAAACTTAATTCTTCCTGTTGATTGAGGAGAAAAAGGGAGATGCAAACAATCAGAGAACAGGGAACTTCCATGCCAGTGTAGAAGTGTCACTTCCCAAATGATTGCTAAAGAAATCCCTCAGCGCAGCCGAGCCTGGGGCTGCAGCTCTGCACTGACCCAGCGCACTGGCTTCAGTGCCACGGCCCGGCCGGACTCTGCTTCTCAACAGAAAAAAAAAGTCCAAACAATTAAAAAGCTGGTGCTTCATAGTAACATGAGGGGATAGTTTCTACTCTACTAACTGACTTGTAATTTAATTTTTATGTACAGGGGTACTTTCTCTCTCCTTTCCTACATGCACAGGCGGTCTGCATAATGCCACCCTCTCCCAACACCCGAACCCAAAGCGATTGCAAGGCATTTAGTCACCTCAGCAGATTTCTCTTCCATGAATTTGTCCGGTTGGCCTCCAGCCTGGCATACGCCCCTCGCACACCAAACTGCCTGTGCAGGAGCTCTGGGCACTGGTGTGTTTTGGTGATGCCAGGGACTCAGCGGCTAACAGGAACGCTGACAGCACCTTTGGCAGCTCAGGCCTGCCGCTTACTGTACGCAGGGCTGCAGCAGAACTCCACAGGGTGTATTTATACCTCTGTGGGAGGAAAACTAGGTCTGTATAGCAGACAGGGCTTTATACATAACGGCAGTATCGTCTTTTGAAGTTTAGTTTAATTTGAAGTATAACTACCTCGGTCAGTGTGCACCTGACGGGAAGAGAAGAAAGGTTTAAGACTTTCTAGAGGCTCTTGCAAGCAGAAAAGTAAAATGTTCCTGTCTGTGCCCACGTGCTACAGCTATACTTCTCTGACTTGGATTTTTCAGGCTGTTGCTAATCCCAGCTGGAAAAGGTGCGAGTGAGCCTGGCCCTCCCGGAGCAGGTTCCAGCTCTCCCTGCAGTTCATTGCCATCTGTGTCATTCAGGTCAATGGAAACTGGATCCCCTGAAAAAAACCTCGTGGGAGGTTTTCTTATGTTTTTCCATCTTGCTGTCAGTTATAAACACGATGGACACCTGAACTGCTTAACCAACAGCAGTTTTGCCAGGTTCTGTGCTGTCAGTATTCTCAGCTGGGGACAGCACCAGGACTTTTACCCTAAAGGTTTTCAAACTGCGTACCTCAGTGGGAAAGCTTTTCCCGGGCTTGCTCGGTGTCGTTTGCTGCTCCCCCTGTGACACATTGTACCTTAGATTAAATCTGCTCCCATTCATTTCAAAGAGATGATTACTCAAATAAGGGATTGTTTAAAGGTTAAAGCCTCACTGATGGTGAATATAGCGAGCAGGGGCTAGCACAGCCTGGACCAGAGGAAAAATACAGAACAATGTAAGACTGGGGGAAAGGGGGGTATAAGTAAAGGGCCTATAATCTTAAATTAAGAAGTTAAATAATAAGATTAGCAGCAACAGAAGAAGTTTTACTGCCACCCATCACAACCTTCTTCCATTTATGAACCATACCTGTCTAAAGTCACTGTTCGTCCATTTAGTGTGTTCACATGGAAACAACTAAAAGTGTCAAACAAAAGGAAGTTAACCAATTTTCATGTAGGTTATTTATATCTAGGTCCCAGAGTTGACAGTATAATTTATTAAGTATCTCACCCTGTATAGTGACATTTTTACTAATTAATATGGAGCCAGCTATACACACTGCATATGTACAGGTATTTTCATAAGGCATATAATATCTTTGCATTGAAAATAAATGAACATTATTAAATTTAATTTAATATATACTTTCTTTGAGGTGTTTATGAAAATATTTTTTCTCTATATTTTTGTATGTGACATGATAGAAATATTTCATGGGAAGTACAGGTTAATATATTTTATCTTTATAAAGGCATATACAACTTTGAGGCAGTGTTTCTGATGGACAGCAGAATTCCTAAAGAATTTGTATGTGCTTCTGTGTTTTGAAATCATATGAAATTGACTTTAAGAAGTAACTTGATTAAAAAAACGCACCAATGCACAGCCAGAGGCTGACAATTAAAACTAATACATAGCCACATGAACAATATATTTATATAGTTAATATATTTTTTTCAAGATGATTGGTACTAACATATAGTATTATACATTTGGCACTACTGTTTGCCATTGGTCCAGCAATTGGCAAAAAAATTGTTTCCTATGTATAAATCTGTTTGAACATTAGATCTGGCTAGACATATTTACTATTTATAAAAAAATATTTAGACAGTAAGCTCACGTTGAATAACTAGGTCTACTGTATTCTGGAAACTCTTCAGTAGTAATACAGCTTTCTCATGTTCCATATGTACAAAACTGTGTCCATTTGCCTGCAACACAAAAACAAGAAGAGAAATCGAATGAGATTCTATTTAGTGTCTTCATTTTGGGGGAGCAAAGGGATATACGAAAACTAAAACCAAGGCTAAAATAAATAATAATCATATAACAATTTCCTGCAAACAGGAGTTTGACTGTACCACTGAGAGAACGCATTTCTCTCTTTCTCTGTTGGACAGATACTGCACCCCCCTGCTTCGAGCAGGGGCTGGACTAAATCACCTCCGGGGATCTCTTCCAACTGAAATAATTCTGTGACTCTATGATATTCTGCACATTTTCTGGAGAAACAACAGCTCTGGGATGTAAGAGTTTCAAATGTTGTGAAGCCCAAGGCAAGTTAATGCTGCCAGAATGCATTGCTGACTACCAAGGAGGCTCCAGCTCAGATCTGATGCAGACATATGGCACATACAAAAAGGGAAAAATTTACTGAATAAACCGTTCTGCTTTAGTGCTAATTGAATCTTTCTATAACTTGTCTGTTACAATGCTACTTGAAATAGTTAAATTTTAAACATAATCACCAACAGTTTACAGAGTGTGATCGATAACCCGAAGTAGAAAATCCACCGCTCTAAAGAATAAAGGCAGTCCATGAAGGTGATCAGGTACTGAACAAAGACAGCGCTCGCTGCAGACACCTGCCATTTAGCCATCCATGAAAGCCTCAAGACTACTCCCTATGAGCCAGGTAAGTCCTCAGACTCCTGTGTCCCTACTGCAGGGCTTGTACCCAGCTCGGTAAATGCTCAGCTGGTTCAAAGCTCCACCCTCTCTAGCTTATAGCAATTCTATAAACACACTGCACTTTAACAAAAAAAATATATATTTTAACTAATATCTAAAAAGAGGTTATCAAGCCCTTCATGCTTTGGTTAATAAACTACCGCTGCTGTGAAATTACAGCCCCGTAGAAGTACTCCCAGCCACCCTTTGCACATGCCCAGACCATTACACATTGGTATCTTCTCGGCCACAACAAAACCGTGCTACGCCACATTATAGATGGAAGACAGACTTAAGAGCCTCCCCTTGCCAGCAGTCGGCACAGTTGAGGCATTGGACAAGCAACACGAAGTAGCTGCCAGGGCCCCCCCCAAGGTGCTCACATCTCCCCAGCCCACCCGTGCCCACTGCCCATCGTCTCCTCGCAGACGTTACGATCCTCCCCCTGGACCAGGTGCTTGCTGAAAGGAGGCCCCATGCCCTCTCGCTCTATTAAAGGATGCCCAGCCCAGAATGATAATTAAAAGAAGAGCTGTGCACCTACATCTCTACAGGAACAAGGAGCCCATGAGCATAGCAGTGCTTTCTCGGCACTCAAAGGTTCCTGTTCAAGGGCATCAGCTGCTGCGAGCTCTAGCGCTGACAACTGGGCAGAACAGCAACAGGCAGGCACAGAGCAAAGGCAGCATCCAAGCAACAGTGGAAAGTAGTTCACTTTTATTCAGCTTAGTATGATAAAATATATTTGCTCTGAGAAACGGGAATACAAATTTCAGGCAGGAAAAGTTTCAAAGACATTCACTTATGTGCCAAAATTAGGCAGCCATTTGGCATTCAGTTTGAGGTCAGCTCAGACTCTGATGTAATTCAGGGGGAAACTGAAGAAGTTTCAGTTTATTCACCACACAGCTCACAGGGATCTCTATTATTCATTCAGAAAAAAAATAAAAATAATAAAAGAACCTGCAAACAAGCCTGAGAGCAGGCCAGCTCTGCCTGCTCCCCTTCTCATTTTCAAGCTGCGCAGTGAGGGGCATGGGAAAACGTTGTGCAGGTTCGGCTCTAGCTAGCGGAGAAACCTCTTTCCTGGGAGAAAAGTTTCTCAGTAGAAGAGGGCTGTAGGAGATACACATCCAAAAATACCTAAGCAGGCCACACCCAGAGGGATTTTTTATTTAACATATAAATAAATGATAATTGGAATCTACTACTTTCATTCCGCTGTGGTTTCACATTCCCCCCAAAATACGCTAAGAAATCCACACACATATTTAAACATTGAGTTATTATTTAGTTCTAATTATCAGAGAGAAAGAATGTTTTGTAGCTGAATCACGGAGCCACCAAAGCAAGATTTCTTAGAACTGAAGGGCAGCCTTTAACATATGGCGGCACAATTGTATGACACGGCTGCTAGAGCTGCTCTCTCCTTGCTGACAGACTTGGCAGCCATACAACTGTGTTCCTCCTTAAAAGTCATCGACTAAAATTGCTGCTAATTTTGTAACAGAAAAATCATTCTCGCTTATCAAATAGATAACTTAAGAGCTTACGACACAGAAAGGAAAGATACAACGATTTTGCTGCCCCCGGGATCCCAGCGGGGCTGTGGGCTTCTGGACTTGTAAGCACCAGAATTTGTTTACTGCAGAGGACACACACACATTCTTCTATCAAAACCAGGCAATGGGCAAAACCATGTTTAAGAATGACAGCTTCTCAGTGAGCTGGGTAACTCCAGCCAGGGAATGTCAAGCCTTTTAATTTTTAAAGCTTCCCTCCCACTTTTACCAAAACTGCTTGGGGAAACACATAAAATGCATGGCAGAAACATGACTGCTCCTCCTGAAAACACCCTGCTTCTTCCATGTAAGTGTTTAAAAAATTTCCCCTCGGAGTCTTGGTCTGCTAATATCTTCCTGTGCCTCATCTTGAGTGAACTGAATTCACTGCATGGGAGCACAAAAGGTGCACAGACACCGAGGTGCCCCAGTAACGGTGACGCCGGGGTTACCTGACATGATAAAACATACAGGCGCCAGCCAGTAACACTGCGGGGAAAAGCGTCAGACAGACATGACGGGAGGGAGAGCCTGTAGCACGAAGATTTAGATGGTACTAAAAGCAGATCATGGGGCAGACCGCGTGAGGACAGAGCGGGCTAAGACTGAGGAAACACAGGAAGATGGTTCCTCCCTCATCATCCCAGCAGAAACTGGTGTCACAACCAGCGCATCTGTGGAAGACAATAAATGGCGCAGATAGCTACAGATGCCAAAGAAGAGAGATCATGGGTGAGGAGGAGCCTCCTTCTACATAGTAATTGGTATTACAAAGCCCTAGTCTCTGGCAGGGGATTGCCTCATGAGCTAAATGCAAAGAAAGGTGATACAAAATGGGGGTGGAGGTGAAGTGATGCCAGTAAGTATTAATAATTTCAAGTTCGTACTGCCTAGGGATCTTGGTATTTTTAGCTAAAGGCATTGTTTATATTTGAGAAGTAAAATATCCTTCATCATGGTTATGGTTTTTTTTCTGTTAATTCCTTCCTGAGATTAATGAGCTTTTACTTGCCACAATATAAATCAACACCTGGTAATAGGTATTATGCATGGGTAGAAGTAATTGCAAATAAAAGGAAAATGTTCTTGCCAGAGAATTTGAAATGATGTACTGACAGTGACAAATGAGAAAGTCTGCTGAGACTGATCCACAATCTTCATCAACGTAAGTCATAAATAAATTAAGAGAGTGAAATTTGCTATCAAAAAAAATGCTGCACTACCTTAAATGTGATTATATAAACATATGTAAATGCTCTTATTTTAGGAACACATGCTGAAACACAGAATCATAGAATCATTTAGGTTGGAAAAGACCTTTAAGATCATCAAGTCCAACCGTTAAACTAACCCTGCCATCCCACCACTAAACCATGTCCCTAAGCACCTCGTCTACCCGTCTTTTAAATACCTCCAGGGATGGGGACTCAACCACTTCCCCTGTGCAGCCCGTTCCAATGCTTAACAACCCTTTCATTGAAAAAATTTTTCCTAATGTCTAACCTAAACCTGAGAAATCACAGCTCCTGATGGCCTGTGCCCATCAGGAGAAATCATTTGACATAATAATAGCTATAAAATAAATGCAGGACAAAAGCATACATCTTTGATGAAGACATCCTAGGTACACACAGGCAACAGACCTGTCCCTGCACAGAACAGCACAGCCCTCGCACGACTCCGTTAAGGCTACTCCCATGGCGCATGCCCCCTGCTTGCCCCCACACGCAACCTTCTTGCCTTATTTCGCTGTTACTTTTCAACATATTTTACTCTTACCCGTTTTTGTTTCTGTTACTAAGCTCAGCTTTCACTATAGCACTTTGATTATTCTAAGTATCTCTAGCTAATTTTGTACTTCATTTATCTTCACTATTTTCTTTATTTCACGGGTTTTGGAACATACTAGCAATTAAACAGGAGTTGCCTGTTGTAGACTTCGGAGCTGATAACTACTGTAGTGCCGGTGTGGGGTAGGAGGGGTGGAGGGGGGTGAAGGAGAGAGGGAGGCAGGAGGAGAAAGGCTACCAAAGATGTTTGAAACATCCTTGGTTTGCTGGCTTCCTTCATATAACTGATTAAAACACAGTTAACCTCTTACCCTTGATCAGTGTGAATGGCTTTAAAAACTGTTACAAGCCTTTCAGACAACTACGATGACTCTCCTCCTGTTGTCAAAAGTAATACTGTTTGCTGCCAGTGGTAACACATTTTCCAGGCTTAACAAAAAAAAAAACCCCAACCTTGCAGGACATGGTACAGAACCCTTTGCTACATGGACAGCCGCTATTTCCCGTGAATGAGGAATTTTTGAAAGGTATGTTCAGGAATAGCCAGTCTTTCTATTTAAAAAGTTCACCGGAATACAGAAAATATTTGTTACTGAGAGAAAAAAGAAAACAAAGAGCTGAGATTTTTTCTGTAAATTATGCAGATGCTTCCATGATCCAGTAGTGGATCCAGTAGCCGCTCTTTTTCAAAAATGCTGAGGCAGTGAAAGAGAGGCAAAAATATCGCCAGTTACAATTCTGTCAAAAAATGTGACTATTATAGGTCCTTAACCAGCGTCACATCAGCTGCAAAGGTGAAAATTAGAAACATGTCTTGCTTTGTCATATACTTATGCTTGTGAAACTGCTTGTAAAGCTCCTTTCTCCCTGCACCTTCTTGCGCCATAAGTGTGGAAAAGCTGGATATGATGTAAGGATTATTTTTATTTTAGAGTTTAAATTATGTCACCTGGATCGTTCCTGTGACAGATTATAAGCATTAACCTTTTCCTGCAGTGCCATTCCCTCCCAGAAGGCTGGTGCTGGCATCCACATGCCCCATTCCGTATCCCTGGGGAGGGAGCAGAAACTGCCCGGCAAAATGAAGACAGCCTGGCTCCTCGCTGTGCTGTGGTCCCTCTGTTCTTACTTATTGTGTTCCCTGGGTTTAATTCAGCTCCCTGCTAGTGGCAGGGGGGTTGTCGGACAGCACAGCACACCCCAGTGCCTCTTTTTCACATCCTCAGTTTGTTTTCAAATGGCTTTATTCCTGTTCTAAAATCAATATTAAAGTACCATAATAACAAAACTAGCAGTTAACTTGTACTGAAAACAATATCATTGTACTTGTAAAGATGCAAAGACTAGGTTCAGTTACAAAGCAGTGAAATCCACCCATACCTGGAGGATCTTATCACCAGGCTGGAGCAGGCTGGATGCTGGTCCGTCAGGCTGAACCCTAGTAACAAAGATACCCTATAAGTCAGAAGTAACAGAGGTTAGGATGCTATCACCAAGAACTAGTTCCCAAAATACAGGTGTCTCCCTAACTGGTGTCTGGGGGCTTCATGTACACTGGCAACGGTCTAAACACTAAATTCTTTTTTTAAATCTATTTGTAATCAAACAGTAGTACGGGTCTGTAGCAGCTCTCTATGACCTTCAGCTAGTTATCACCCAATACAAACGTAATTGTGGGTCATTTGAAACGAAGATTCCATGTCACAGAACAACATCCAATTTGAATAGGGCAAGAGTTAACAGGGTTATCAGGAGGATAATTAAAATGGAGCAAGCATTAATTTATTAGACTAATTCGTAGTACCATAATCTAGACGGTAATCTTTGTTTACTTCCTCTAGGTAAAAAAAAAAGAAGTTTAAAACAATTTCTAAACAGCAATCTTGATATTCAGCCCTTGAGATATTGAGTACAATGGTCTATAGGGCTGTCACTTAATCCAGTGTCTGAAGAGTGAATGACTTCAAAAGGGGAAAAATTATTAAGTAATAAATGATATTTTTAGATTTCTTTTCAGAATGTCAGTAAAATTCATTAATAAAACCCCAAATCAAAGACTGAGTTCCTAGATGATGAACACATTTGAAATATTTCCATATAGGTCAGGCAGTCCTGTATTTCTGTACCCTCAGTCTCACTTTCTCTGCTGTGCTCACCCTGCTGCTGAGGGCGAATACCTTTAAGCAGGCTCCAGAACTAAGCCCAGGCTAATTTTAGCCATTTACATTGCTCCCAGAGACACCAGAGAAATTCCCTGCTTGATATCATCATGCAAACCGTGTGCGTCCTTGAGGAGTTCTATAGCCTTCTGGAGCAAGGTACTGTCCGCTATTTCTGTTAACCTTATAAAAACCCCAGCTCCTTGAGCGCAGAGCGATGGGCTGCTTACATTTCATCCACATGCCATTAATTCGTGACAGAAGCCTGCCATTCAAAATGACTGATTGCTTCTGTGCTTGCTACTGCTTTTCCTGTCCTTTCCTCTCACCACAGTACCGTCAGGGTGTCAGGGCAAGGGTGTATCACTGTGCAAAAGAATGCTCACTGCCATCCCCACTGATTTCATCTTATAGACAGAACGGTACCATATGCGTGACTTAAAACCATCACAAACGACTGGCATGTATGATGAGAGACAACATCACCCTCTTATCGCTTCTGTGATATTTAAAACACGATAAATTTGATGTAACAGTGTGGGAAGCAATGTTTCAGAGAAACAACGCACAAAAAACACCTTTGAACTATTAATTCCTTCAATATAACCAACTATCACTCCCTTAGTACACAGTTTCTGTTATTGGTAAAATTAAGTCCATCTACAGCTGTTACTGTGCTGCATGTATTACTGGTGCAGACACATAGTGGGATATAGACTCTAATAACTTCAGGCAAGTGATAGACAGTAGAAGTGTAACTTAATTCTAACATCATATATTAAACTGTGGAAAAAAAAGATCATGGTTATAAAGTGTAATCCCAGTGTGCAGTCTCAAAGGAGGACACCAAAAATGTTTTAAGGGATAGTTGTTAGAATGCCTGATGGCTGTGTACATTAAATGGAACTATTCTTGAAGTTCAAAACTGGGATTATCAATGAGAAAACTGAAAGGAATAAAGATTGTGTTAGACTGATATTTCCAAGTGTATTTTACATTTCCAGTTAGCTTTCTGTTGTAATTCAGAGTGCTGGGGGATTTTTTTTTTTTTTTAATTTGCACACAGATCTCAAATTTTTGAGAAAAGATGAAAAGATAGTTTTAATTTCACCATTTGCCAAACATTCTCAATATTTATGGAAGTTATGACTGCCTCTTAGAATTGAATCCAGTATTATCAAAGACTATAAACTGTAAGAATAAGTTTAACAGAGAGATACCCACAGTACTTGTTTTTCAGCAAACTCCAGTCAGTTTTACCACACAGAACTGATGAATTCACAGGTCTAAGAGTCCATTTCCTAATCCTAAAGCCCCGTGTAGCTGATAATCACTAAATGTTGTATTTTCACTAGGCTTTCTTTTACTGTAAAGAAATATAGCAGCCTCTTAAATGTGAAATTCCCAGAATGAATACTGAGTCTCCCTGACCATCACGTACCATGATGATGTAATTTTTAATTAGCACTCCAGAAGAGAAGACTGCTTGCTGTGGTGTTTGTAAGGCACCGCTGATCTCCAGACCAGTTTGTAGGCCAGACCAATTTTTTTTGATACAGCTGCTATAAACCCTGGCATTTCAGCTACCTAGCAATGCCACTAGTGGTTTAGTATTCCCTTTAATGACTTTAGTTAATCAGGGCCTATATTGACTCTTAAAACAAAAAAGTGAGAGAGATGATTCTCTGGAAAACATTCTCAAAAGCGATCTAATACATGGAGTATAAGGCAGACACCCACGTGATTTCTGTTTTGATTCTCTTGTCTTCATTAACTAGAAAAAAAAAAAGTTAACAAAGTGAACTCCCCTAACAAAAAAATGCCAAGTATGGGAAAAATGTTTTCAATTACCGCAACAGAAATGCATAAAAATTTCACTCATGTTCTCTATGCCTCCACTACGTGGCACTCTAAAATAAGGACCGTTTAGAGAGAAATTTATAGCTTACCTTATCAGATGGTTTGAACGGATTTCCTTGTCCACTTATTCCACCACTGATACTAAAACCAAGGCCAGGATTCTTCTCTATTCTCACACAAAACTAGGTTAAAAAGATATGGCAAGATAAGTCAATGCCAATATTAAAGCCTACCTAAACAATGGCATCCTCTTCTCATACATCCCATTTCACCATTACCGAGATTAGCTGACCCTCTCACAAGCTGTGTTGCACAATATAGTCAGTAGAATAGTTGTAAGCTGAAAGTATTTTCATGATTTTAACATGCTGCAATGATGCCATAATATTCAGTGCTACATGTATTTTTGCATACATTTAAAAATTTTATTTTCAAGGAGAAAAGAAAAGCCTTTAGACTTGTGAAAGAGCAGTTCACGTTGGCCATTTTTCACTTCAGCATTGGGATAAATCTGTCAGTGAGGCTTCATCTTGTGCAGTTTTATTTTTCCAGAAGGTGTTACATGTGCAGCATCCACGGGTGTTACGCTTGGGACAAAACCCAAGGAATAAGTACTCTGAAACTCAAGAGATCTTCAGACCATTGTCAGGATCGGGGCCACAGCCATGATAACCTGCACTGAGCACCAACCACTTTTACAAGTGCCTTACTCCAGGAAATAGTGCTGAATCTTCTCTTTTAGTCAGCATGACTCTAAATGGCATCAGGTAATTGAATATAAAATAAAAATTACTTCAGTGTAGCTTAATGACTACTCACTGAGCCAGTTCTCGAGCCACACAAGCAATTGCTTCTGAATCTCAATGCTATACCCAGGGACTTAACACACAGGCAAGCTACTCACGTGGATGGTCCAACACTTTACACAAGAGAAAGGTCTACTAATGATTCTGAACCTTATTCTGCAAGTCAGGTGCCTCAAGCAGTTATTGCAATCATTAAGGCCAAATACAACGGGGACAGGACCACTTAATGAAGAAACTCATCAGCACCCATTTTTTGTTAGACCGCAGGCACTGGAGCTACAGCCGGCCTTTCTTAGGCTAAACTGGAGCAGGCACTACAAATCTGAGAAGATCAGCATCTTGCCAAACACGCTACACTGTTAGCACTGAACTAGGTTACTGGGGAATTGGCAGAAACTGCAAATTAATTCAGTATGACCCTGCGATGTCAGCTCTGCTCAGGAACTCAATGCCAATTTGTGTTGCTTGGTCAATCAAATCAAAAAATGGTATCAGTCGCTGATGCTGGGAGAGGACAGACCCAGCTGGCCTGCCTCCAGCTCAGCCATGCTCCCCCATGCTGTCTGGCGCAGCTGCCCTCTGTTATTGCCCTAGGCTCCCTTTTTCTGCTGTCTACAAGGCAGAAAAAAACAGAAAGTTTTTGTCAAAGTGTTATCTTATAGACACACTTTCCTCACCTGCTCCTGATATGCATCCGTACTTCTCTGACCCTTGGTTTGGATTAAACACCGCCCTGTCTGAGGTGCTCGGGAGCTCTGCGAAGAGGGAATCTGAATAGGCAGTGGTGGCTGAAACTGCTGAATGGTGACTTTGTTCATGTTGCCTTCGTACTGCTGCTCGCGGCTCCGATGCTGTAGGCTTTGTGATCCCATTAAAGTCTGGATATGGCTACCTGCCTGTGGGTAACGTAACCCGTTAGGCCAGAAATTCAGGAAGCTGAAAAGAAGCAATTATTACAACTTACAGAGTCAAGTAAAAGCAAACCTCTTAAATCATATCAGAGGTTTGCCTTTTGACTACAGTTGGAAACAACCCTGATTAAAAGCAGCAAGGATATGCCCATTGCATTTAGTGACCCTAGGAAGTTTAAGGGAAATTAGCCATATACAGCATGTTCTATAAACAGAAAATATTTTTTTCCTCATGTCATGATATATGCTTCTGCTCCGAATGTTTTGTGAACTGAAAACTTTTAATAAATTGTAGTAGGGTGGATTATTCATCACAGCACTCTCAGACGATATCAGAATGTTTTGGGGTTTTTTCTGAGGACAGTTTGGAATAAGATTTATAACCCAAATACAGATACTGGCCAGTATTGTGCACTATTGTGTAGGGAAAAGTGGACTATTGTGGAGGGAAAGCATAATCAATTAAATCCTATGCCTTGTCCTAGTAGCAAATGTGACTTCTACAAAATATAACTAATCAATTTATCAAATGTCTATGATAATATCTACTGATTTGGAGATCTAATATTTTGTAAATCTAAGTGAAATACTGCATTCACATTGACTTGGCCTTTTGGTATTTTCAGAACAAAAAGGATGACTGCTATCATTCTTCTGTCCTCTCCATCCCCATTGCCTTTTATGTTTGCAGGTGAGGTTTGCTTTCTGCATTCTGTTCTTGACATGGTAAAGTTGCATACTTGCTTACTCTTCAATACACAGTCTCTATTTAGGCACATGAATTACATAAACATTTGAGGCAAATCTTTGCAAAATAAATTCAGTTGAGACAATTTTATACTTTTAATATTTACAGGATTCAGATGTTGTTGCTTATAAATAATCGCATGCAACTTAGCAGTAAGGGAACGAGCAAAATTCATGCCCCACTGTTTGATCAAAAATTATTACTTCCATGAAATATCACATCATTGCTACTGAGAGTTTTCAGATGATAAGTACCATCAACCAGTGCTATTATTTGAACACCCTGGATGTGAAAGAGCATTATGATTGTGTGTTGCAATATCTACAAGTCTCTATGGACAAACCAGACCTACTTAAATGACGTTTCACGTCAAGTTTACACCAGCCAACAACACGCTCACATCTCATCATAAAGGTCTAATCCTCAGTACTACTGAACCTTTATGATCCTGGTGGAAGAGTCACCAGACTGTAATTTAGACAAGAGTAAATTTAATACAGCAAAAGATCAAAACATTTCTTACCCGTTGGCCAATCATCTGGCCTTGGAAGTTATAGCAGCCAGGGCATTACAATTAACTGGTTGCCATAGGAAAAATCTATCTTAATGGAGTTCCAAGATTTGTCTGCACAACACATCGTTAATACGGATGCAGGTGGAGCTACTCATGCCACTGAACACAGAATCCCAGCAAGACACGCAGTGACTGTGAGCAAAACTGACCTGCTCTGTCTTATTTTTTTGCTGACTGTATTTGAAGAAAGGGACTAGGGAGAACACGTCTGACAGTTCTTCATTTTAGTACAAGAGGGATAGTCTCAAAGTGAGCAATGACAGAGAAATCTTTTGCTCCTTGTGCCCAGATCTTCAATTCCCAAACTCTTCTTAAAATGCAGCTCACCTATGTACATGAAAGTGCTCAATATACATTGACAAACTTACTCCAAGTAACACCTGGTGAAGCCAGTCTGTACTGTGAACATCCCATCTTACAGGTCAGAGAGGTGTTCAATTCATCCAAGATCAGAAGGGGAGGAAAATGCTTTTTAGCTATTCATTAACTCCCTAGAAGCAACAAGCTGTGCCCATGGTGGATTGCTGAATCCGTGTCACCTTGCACCGCGGAGATGCAAGGTGAGCAGGTGACCATGTGCTTCTGTACTTCATGCTGCGTCAGAGACTCATCACAAGAGGATCCCAAAAAAGCAGAATCTCATAGATTCTGCTATTTGCCCCAGATACAATCCCATATCCACCGCAGCAGCCCACAGCAGGTGCATTGTCTGCCTGAGAGGAAGATGTCTATTTCAAATAAAAAAAAATAAATTGTGCTTCCTCACTGAAAAACCTCAAATCTTTATTGGGTTAACAGATCCCTGGATTGAACAGCAGATGCTGGAAATGAAACAGAAACAGCCTCCAGCCTCCCAGCTGTGGCTGACAGAAATACTCCCATGTCAGAAAGGGAAAGAAATGGTGACTCAGACAGTTTCATATGTCCCAGTTTTGAGGTAGCTGCCTTGTTCCAGTTCCATAGCATACGCTCCTTCCACATCCATTGAGACCGTTAGAGCCCACACAGGGATCTCCAAGACTTTGCATGGCTTCAGCCTTCATGTGGGCTGCTGCAGTCCTGCAGCAGAAGAGGCCAACTAACACAGTCCTACGCATCCCCAAATCTGTGCAGCTCATCCTCTTAGGGGGTTGTCACCCTGCACCCAGGTTGGCCAGCCTGATGCCTGTTCATTTTCCATCTTCATTCTCACTCTTCAATCTCTCTTTTTCATAAGGAGTGATTTCCAGGTTCTCTTTTGGTGATGCCCTGCCACACTTCCACCCCCTCCCTTTTTATGGAAGAGCAGCTAGCTCAGAATACAACTGATTTAATCAGGCACGTAGCTGACTCGTTGACGTGCCAGAAAAAGTCATTTGTCAGGAAGTATAAATATTGTATTCTTTTAATACATCAGTGGATTATTCAGTTTGAAGATCAAAATATTCACGTAGCTGACTCGTTGACGTGACAGAAAAAGTCATTTTTCAGGAAGTATAAATATTGTATTCTTTTAATAAATCAGTGGATTATTCAGTTTGAAGATCAAAATATCAAACTTTTCCATATATCCAAAATATCCAAACTATTTCCAAAATATCAAACGAGAAACAGCCCATAAATTATGGAATGATCATATAAATGATCATACTTAAAATTAGCATTTAAACTGTATTCTGAACAGCAAAGAGGACAGAAACAACCACTCACCCCACACATAATTATGTACTGATTACTGTATAGTATTCCCACTCTACTTCATTACACATATCATAGCCCTCTACATGTGGATAACTTAGGAACACAGATTACTGTGTCTTTACATGTACTACATCGGCCTGAGTACACAGTCCATCCGTCTATAGTACATGCTCTTCCCCTGGGAAGACCACCTCCCAACTCTTCTTCCAGTGGTTTCCCAAGCAGAGCTCTACCATGTAGTGACCCTGCTCTGCAGGAGCCCATTCACGCTGGTGCTATTATGTTAGTGGAAAACCCAAACCTATACTACAGTTTATATTTACATCATTTAATTGTTTGTTATGTTGAAGTTTAATTCTATAGAAAATTTTCCGAGTCTGACTTCAAATAATTGCTGTATTTTAATCCCCAGATGCATGGAAACCAAGACACTCGAGGTCACTTTCAATGGAGAAGAGATTAGCATTGTCATAACAGCACCTTGCAAACCACCTCCTGAGGATGGCGGGTAAACAATTTTCAGAATTCATTTTCTCACTCCTGTTAATAGACTTTGAAAAGATGTTATCACTACTTCTTGTGTATTCACACTGTGGCTCTAGCTGGAGGTGGATAAGCTGCCTTTCTTGGAAACAGGAATTATTTATTCTGCAGAAAAAAATCTCTATTATGCAGACTGCTCCCCCAATTTCATTCGTATTCTTTATTTAACATCCACCACAAAGTTAATTATTTTCAGCTCAGTGTCCAATATTTACAGTATAATTAAAGTAGCTGACAACGGATGTAACAATGGATTGCTCCACTGAGTTAAGCAGATTTCAGCACGGTTATGCAATGTTTGTACTTACCACATCTGAGCAGCGAGATACTGAAATATTCAGAACGAAACAGAATCTGCAGTTTCTTATTATAGTAAGACTGATGATGCACAAATGCAAGACATAGAATGAGTGTTAGATTGTGTGAATGGATAAATGCAGGTTTTACCCCAATATGCCAGTGAAGATAAGCAGTGACTCCTCTTAAACTTCTTATCCTAATTTCTTGCATATCAAAGGATAAAGAAACCCTTCGAATAACTTGGCTGTCAGAGCCAACTCCATCAAGCAACGCCAGAGCGTCCTCCTCCTCACCCTCCTCTGCCTGGGAAGGGGTCTCTGGGCTGCTCTAGGTACAATGGCTTTTCTCCTCCATCTTCAAGCAATTCTCTTGTACGTATGTATCTGGTCACCAATTTTGTGTGAAGGCAAGGGATACTGCTTCTGAAACTGTCTTGGATAAAAAGATGTGAAGCCAGTAGAGAGATAGTTGCCTCATCAGTGCTGACAGTTAATGATGCTACAGAAGTTATTAGTGTGCATGTTACGACTTTCACACCAGTTTTATTCACTCGTAGGACTTTACTTCAGGAATGAGCAGGGCCAATCTCCATACAGATAACAATCAATGTAATTATCACTGCTTACATGTGCAGCTGCACCTTCTAAACCTGATTGCAAACACAGTTTAGTTTGTCAAGATCCTCTATTCTCCATGTTTGTGATTAGAGCATCTAAAAATGGCAGTTTCTCAGTCAATGAGCGGAGCCAAGTTGGGGCTGGGAGAGAGCAGCCAGTGTTTTCATAGAAACAGGCCAGATCCAAGCACTGTAATTTAACATCTACTGCCACAAGGTACTAGAAATTAGACCCCTCTCTAGTGAGTTTATTAGCAAACGATGTGTGCCTAGGATGTCTCTGTGAAAATGTCTGTGGCTGTCCAGACACTGGGCTGGCCTCCATCTCAACACATTTTTTGACGTGAATGAAGAATGTAATTGCAACGAAACAACTGAATGAAGACTTTTCAGGACAAAAGGGAGCTGACGGCTGTTTGATATGTGCAGAAATACACCTGCCAAGCCCACTATGCCCATTTCACACACCATAGATGTAACTACTAGCATCTGCATAAATACAAAAAAAGGGTAGCAGGCATGAAAGCACCATCCTCAATTCATAATGATTATTGCTTTAAATGCTGAAACAAAAATACATGTTTCCCAAACCTGTCCTCATTAACCTGTTCTCCTCCTTCCAGTCATTCGCTGGGAAAAGAAGACAACCATAGCTATGCTTTGCTCATGCTGCTTACCTTCTTCGTGACGGTGTCTGGTGGCACGTCCCGCCGCCCCAGCGGGTAGGGGTTCCACTGGCTGCTCACAGACACCTCCTCCTGCCCGTTGTCCAGAATGCTGCTCTGCTGCGACGGGGTCTGTTGCAGAAACGGTAAGGCAGCCTTTAGTCACTGGACACACCGTGACAAGACAATGCTCTCTTCATATTTATTTCAATCAACCCAGTTAAACTGTAACACACTATTGCTAAAATGGAAATCCTTTTAAATTTCTATGGTAATTCATTAACATGTAATCATATTGCCGTGGGACTCTTTGCAAGCAGGAGATCTTGGAAGATATATAAGAGAAATAATGAGAATAATGAATGATGAGAGAAAAGACAAAATTAATTTAACGTAACTCATTATTTTCAGAGAAGCAAATTTTGGCAAAGTTCCATATTTAAACATGCAGTCTGCCATTAATAATTTGAGTTAGAACTTTCTTACTGGTCATTCAAACATAAAAAACTTTTTTATTAAGTATCTGCCACCAAGATAAATGATATGCTTTCATTTTTCTTCAGAAAATATTCCTTAATGGCAATACTTAACTTGTGACTAGTGTCACCTCTCGTGATGCTCTGCATAGCACTGTGTGGTGCGCTTCTCACAGGCCTCTCCCTAGGCTACGGCTGGTTTTATTCCACGTTAACAGGATATCCTATGTACAATGTTAATCAGTAATTAAATGCTTTCCTGAGTATGAATGGACATAACACACACTTAAAGTTTCCTAAATGAGCTCGATTCTTTTGTTATTATTTTCCACTTTTCTCTCCTTTTATATGTGTTTCTTGCCACTTTTCCCCCAGGTCATTTCACTCCTGTTTGCAGTACTTTTGAAGACACGTGTACTTTTTTCTGTCCCATCCTGATTTTATCTGTTTTCTGTCTCTGTATTTCTTTACCATAGATGGAAATTTTACTGACATGGGTATGGCTTTTTGCGTCAGACTTTCCAAAATGCCAGCGTAGTACTACCACTGACAGCACTTAGCATTATGTAGTGCTTATTCAGTTAACTGCTTATTCAGTTCTGATTAACAGTAATCTGCAAAGAAAAAAAAAAAAAAAGCTCTGTTCTTCCCCTCTGTCATTCAAGCCATTTCTTCTTCAGTTGACATTAAAAAAAATAATCAAGAAACACTTCTTTAGATGACTGAAGAACAAATGAAGCTGTTGCTTTGAAATATTAAAGCTGGTCAATTAAGAACTTTTTTTAATGCAAGCTTAAAAATCCTTTAAAAGTAAATAGAATTAAATTGTGATATAAATCATACTCCTCAGAGGTTAAGTAAAAAAATTCAATCCTAATTTTTCAAAGAAAAATCGAAGAAAATTTTAATTATAATTCTTTCATCATTCAAGAAGTCTTCTGGAAAAGTCAGGAAAGACGTGATTTTCCTTACATTAAAAACCACTAGGAAAACATTTCCCCTGCTGAAACTACAAGACCTCCCTGTAGAGCTTTCTTTACACACATTAAAAATGTAAAAATGAGACCAACCTCAGCACTTTTTCCCTAGGTTATCCCTCACAGCTCGACAGACACTGGTCCCAGTGCCTGATGCAGCAGTGCTGCTGCTCTCTCAGACAGCGCAACAGTCTCGAGCGCTGGCAAATTTGGGCCCAGAGCCGTAGGCTGCCGTACCGACGTGCATGAAACCTGACGATACAGCTCTAGGTCCCTCACGTGCAGCTAACCCTGGCCGGGCAGGCGTCCAGGGCTGTGAGCAGCCAGCCTGAACACACTGCCAGGGGTTAGCCCCTGCTCGAGGCTTCCCAGCTCAGAACACACTGAGCCCCGTTTGTCCACAGATCAGAATTTGGGTCCCAGTTTGGGCCCAGGTAGGGGTCTTTGTGAATCAGCCATACTGCCCTGTTTGCTGCACGTCCCCACGTATCCCTCATTCAAACAGGGGCACATCATCTGAGACCAGGGCAGCAAACAACTTCTGAAATGAAGAAGTGCAATCGCAAAAATTTCTGCTCTGAGTAGTAGTAAAAAACAAAGAAAAAGAAAGGCCATCATCTTTGTGATGTGAGTCATGCCTTCCAGAGTCATCCACAGACCCAGGTCCCCAAGGCTGTGCTGACAATCTGCTCATCTCCCTGTGAGATGAATTTATAAAACACGCTGTGTGCCCTCCCTACACAGAGACAGACAGGATTAGTGAGGCAGCTTCTTAAGGGAATTTCTGTTTTTCTTCCTCAGCAGTACATGTGAATATGTTGATTATTCCTAAAGGGAAGTGGTACTGAACTCTTCCGAGAATGAAGTGCGCCAAACCATAAACTTTTAAAAGGATTGTGAGATGGATGCCAAAAATTCAAAGCATTCTTCTGACAAGTGTTTCTTTTGTCACTGCAGACAATGCTGTGCCATTTTTATAAGTGACTGACTAAGCTGCAGAGGTGAGTTCGCACTCAAAATTGAAAAGAAAAAAGAGAGAGGGTGCTTTCTGCTCTCTCAACAAATAGGAAAATTATGTGATAACAGGTTTTTCTTTTCATTTTCTGCAGTAAAATCAATTTGTCTACTTGCAATGCTATTCATTTACAGAACTTGGACAGACTGCAAACAAACTACATCTCTATTAAGTCTAGGTAAAAAATGAAAAGCAGCAGTTAAAACATTTTATATGTGGAGTAGAATCAATGTAATAAACTTTCTCAAAATAAGCAATTGCTATACTTGATTTCCTGATCTTCCACTAGACAATTAGACCTCACTCATTACTCTCTTGAATCTAGGCCACAAGAAAGAAGAAGGAGAAGAGGTAAACATTAAGCTGCTGTGGCCTAGATTCATCAAGAAATGCAAATTCTTTAAAACATGTGAAGGAATAAAATTAAACAATACTAAACATTCATATTATTTCTTCAACAGTAATTTTTCACTGCTTTCCAAACAGTACAGCAGGAGAATATGCCCCCTTCATGCAGTTCAGCATCACATTTTATATGGGTATGTAGCAATGAAATGCTGGTGAAATATAAAGCAGAATAATTCACATAAGATCACACCCCAAAAGATGTCACGAAACGGTTTCATGAATTTCCTCAGACATTCATATATGAGTATCCATATTCATCTACAGCCTAAAATTCTTGAAGTGATATATAATACCTTATTCCTAAATGTGTGTAGAAAAATAGTACCATTATTTGGAGTTGATGTCAAATGGACTTCATTCAAGGACTTGTGACAAGAATTACTATATACCCAAGGAGACAAACGAATTCTTTGAAAGAAAAAACCAGTATGACCAACACTGGAAAGCTGTCTGTGTCCAAACACACACACATATCTATGGTTAAGATTTGACCTAGATGTCATCAACTGAACAACAGAGAAGCACACACTAACATTAGGACTTGCTTAAATCCAGGGACAGCTGAATGGGAGGTGTAAATGAAGTTAACAGTGTATGGAAAGTAAGTTACCGCAGGAGAAACCTGACAATGCCCTCTGTGTGTGTTTGTGTGTGTGTGTGCATGAGTGCGCTGCTCACCTTTCACAGCTTTGCTAGGAAATCCAGTGTATGATGCATATGCCTGTAAGCTAAGCAGTGCCTGTCCTTCAGCCAACCAGCACAATCTGGTCATGTTGCTGCCATTAAATTATCTTATTCTTCTAAATAGGCTTGGATCTTAAACTCTTAAATCGGGCGTTGGAACCCCTCTTTGGGAATTTCTGGCCAGTGCTGAGTCCAGAGCCCCAGCCAGGGATTGCCTGGGAGGGTGCCAGCTGGCCCAGGCCAAAACATGCCTGAGGCCAGTCCAGCAATTAAGAGCGCAGATGATCACATTTCAGCGCCTGGATCTGTGCTCTGTTACCCTTTAGTTACTCACAGGGATGTTGCTGATCTGCACCAACAGCTACCGATGCTAATGCAGTAGGACACTTAACGATGCTCGTCACTTCTAGCAGGGCAGTGCCATTACACACAATCCCAAGGGTGCAACTGCTTGCAAGTGTCGGGCAACTGGCTGCTGCTGTGACTCTGGTGTGGCCACACGTGAGGCAGAGTAAGGTCTCAGCATCTCCTCTCTAATACTCTGAAACTACTTCAGCAATGTCCCTCTCTGGCTTGTCATATGTGCTTTTCCCACCAAACATTTGTATATAATTATGCATGCGTGTACTTATCAACAATGTATTGCTAACAGTTGTAAAATAAACAGTAAAAAATGAGAAAACTATTTTCTTTTGACAGGCATTACTCAACAAAAGTTTAAAATTAATTTAGGTGTGGTAGGCATGTACTCAAAACTCATAAATTATTACAGCATACCCAATTAATGTTCAGATGTTAAAATTCCTGCCTCTTGGAGCCTATTTAAATGCATATTAAACATTTCTACATTAATTTTTCTAAGATCAAACAGTCACAAAACAAAACACTTTCTCCATTTCTGTGCACAGATTAAGTCATTGAGAAAATGATCGCACCAGTCTGTAACACGAGAGCGGAAAGCAGTAATGACAGCCATGTGAGCTACTTAATCCAAAAAGCAAGACTACTGAGTAGGAAAAGTGTATCGCTATCATCGTTGCTTTTTGGATTGTGTATAGTATAAGCATGAATAATAGGCAAAAGCTAAACCAGGAAAAAGCAAGGAGTATTATTAATTTATTTTGTAATGCTGGTATATGCTGGCTATCCCATACTTACTTTCGGTAGAGGTAGCTCTTGAAGCATTTGGTTTTCAAATTTAGATTTAGTCTGCAAGTTTAAAGTCATGCTTCTGCCGGCATGCATTGCTGAAAAACCTCCAGAGTGCAGCATGCCAAGGCTAACTGTGTTGTGTTTGTAAGCAGCGGTCTGAGTAGAGGAAACAACCACGTGACAGGATATGAACACACATGCTCATTGAATTAAGTATCACACATATATGGTTAATTTCACAAAGTTTTAGTTTAAGCAAACAAACAGTACCAAGAAATAAATAGCTTCTTGATGCATGCACTGGGTCACACGGAAGCAAATACATTGCTAGTTATACATAAAATGGATACCATAAAAGACTTCAACGCTGACAGCAGATGAAATATGTCATTATCTGTAGTTTGAAAACTGCAGTATATAACATGGTACAAGTCTTTATTTTGCAAATATGGCCAAATTTTGGTACGTCTGCGCAACCACGGATGGGCCAGAAAACATGTATCTAGCACGTAGAGCATCAAAAGGCAGAGGAAAAAACCCTATACAAGAAGGCTCTGCACCATCTTACGAGTTTTGAGACTGCTCCCTGGCTAGCAGCTGCCCACAAGGGACAAGGTTTGGTTGGGCCCAACACAGCGGGTACACAGGTCCCGCACAGAGTGGCATCTCGCCAGACACGGGCAGATGGGCAGTGTCTTCTCCTGGAGCCGCTGCGGCATCGCAGTGCCCAGGTGTTCTCATCAGCAAAATCTCCCCCAGACAGCCCAGCTTCTTAGAGCTTTGCTTATCATACGTTGCGAACAGCTAGGAACTACCTCACTGGCACCTGCAGGGATTACTATGAACTCAATTTAACTAGATAAAATCACCAGTGTCAGCCTTCCGTGAGATAAAGTATTTCTTAAGCAAATACACATTGTAAACTAAGTGTAAAGATATTTCTGAAACAAACAACACCTGGGAAGTGTTTATTTCCACCAGAAGCATCTCTACTTGGGGTGCACTATTTTGCCTAGGTATTATGTATTTTCCAATCAATTTTACACAACACAAGGAAAATAGCTGAAGTAAGGAAAAAGCTTCAGCCTTCAAGCCAGTTTTTGAAGTTTACCCATTTGATCCTTAATGATATTTTAATATGCATCACATCCGAGCAACTGGAAGGTAATGAATATATTAACACCAAACTCATGAGTATCTAGCATAAAATAGGTATATGGACACATTTTGAAACTAACTTATGCATTTGATGACAGTAATTTTTCACAACCACTTCAGATTCTGAAGTAAATCCGATTCATGAAGTAGGTCATTAAATAGTCAAGATCATTATTGAAATCATGCACTACAGTATTCGTACTGTTTTGTATAGAAGATAAATAAGCATAACTTCCTACTGCTAAAAGGAGTAATAATCATATTGCTTGTTAAAAACAGTGGCAGTGTATATCCAGTGGTATTTTTCAGCATTAAGAGGTACCTTTAAACCCCCTCCACTAACAGTGATATGAAAGCTAAAATACATCCTTTTCCTTTTTATCTGTGATGTTTTTCTTTTATTGCCTTCTACTGCAAAGTCGTACCCAGCACCTTTTAAAGCTCTCAAATCATTACTGAAGTGGTGGACTTCAGCAGCACATTCACATCTGTTGGTAAGGAGAGATTTTTATGTTTTTTATTATTTCAGACAGTGCTGCAGCAGTTACTACATTAGTAACGTGCACCGTGGTGCGTTACTTGTGCAGAGACTCTTTATCACTCATTTACCCCTCACTCCAGCTGCTTTTGAGCACCCCCAGACCCTTTTGCGGGCCGGTTCCTCTGACACCAATGCAATAATTTAAATACTGGGAATTCTGGTGGTTACCGCTGTACGTGCAAATAGTTTGAAATACCGAAACACACAACTAAAGGCATTAATTGCAGAGAAATGCCAAACATACCCTGTCTAACCTTCTAGCTTCTATATGTCTAAGTAGCTGTTGTCTCCAGTCAGCGGGCATTTTAGCACAGCTCTCATTTCCCTTCACAGGGGTAGGCCTTGTCTTTATATCACTGTTATCGGAAGGCTTGTCGCCATAGTTACCCAAGTTATAGTCTGACGGTATCTTTTCCAGCAGAGCTGCCATTGTAGGCCTCGCTGAAACCGGCCTGGTTTGGGATGTGCCGTAACTCTCTGTACTGTAGCTTCTTGCAGACAACGGCCGCCTTTGTGTAAGGTTTTTAACTGGAAAGCTTCCAGTGTGGGCTTTCACTTCTTGGTAGGAGGGATGCTCGTCTTCATACCTGCCATTCCTCTTGAGGAACTGAGACTCAGAGACCGAGATACTGCTGACTCTCCTGAACATGGACATCTCGGTGGAGCTGACCAGCGAATCCGCCCTCCTCAAGAACCCCGGCCGGGACCCCTGGCTCGCAAAGGGGGCACTGACTGCCTCCTCGTTCACCGAAGGCTGGGAGAAGGAGAACATGTGCTCCACAGGGGGGTAGCCGCGGTAGGCCCTTGGGCTGACCAGATCCTGGGGCAGGTTTTTACTCTGCTGGGGAATGTACTCGGGGTTGAGCTGGAAAGGCGGCGGCAGCCTCTTCTCCGCTGTGACCTCCACTGCTCCCTGCGGGTTGAAGCTTTGGTCGAACTGGTAGACTTTCTTCGTGACGGACGACTTCTGCTGCGGCTGCACCTTGACGCTGCCGTAGGTCAGCAGCTCATCATCCAGCATGGGGACCGACTGGCTGCGGGACATGCTCAGCATGCCGTGCTCCGGGCCCAGGAGCTTGTCCACCCTCTCATGGGTTCCTACAGTATCATTACCAGATGCATAGTTTTCTAAGGGTATATTATACACTTTGTATGTACCAATGTCTATCTCATCGATACTTTGTGACTTCTTAAATTTGTTAGTTTTTAAATCCCTCATCATCGGAGAAAGTCGTTCTGTACTCTTGCTGATTGAAATAACGCTTTTGGAAGGATCTGGGCGACAGTGGATATGGGAAAAGACATTTGTGAGACTTCTGTTAGCATTTGAATCATGATATTCCCATGCTATTCCTGGAGTGAAAGTGCTAGTCATTTCAGGAGACTCTTTGACATGATTTTTCCGCTCAGGCAAAGGGCTGGTGGTAGGGGTGTTTTCCAGTTTGGAAGGAAAAGCTGTCCTGTCTTCAAAAGGACTAGGGGTTCTGGTCCAATTTTGCCAAGGATTGGGAGGAGGCACTTCAGATTCATGGGTGTTTCTGAGCGTTGGCTGCTCCAGCTCCAGGGGAATGCCAACTATCCTGTCTTGTCTAATCAACGGCCTGCGGCTGTGCGCAGATGTGCTTCTGGATTTCGTGCTCAGGAGGGGGTTTGCACTAGGATTCTCCACCGTGCTCTCCTCTGCAACAAACCCTGTGTTATCATAGTGCGAGCTGTCGTTCCAGCTGTCAGCGAAGGTGTCGCTCAGCGGGCGCCTGTCGGTGCGCTGTGGCAGGTTCCCCGCTGCAGCGGATTCCCGCTGGCTCAGCAATGGCTTTGTTTCAAGGGGCTGTGGAAATGACTGGGCCAGCCTGCAAAAACAAAACAAAATGAAACAAGATAAAATGCCCTCTATTAGAGCACATAAGCAGTCATCAGAAGACATAATTATAAAGCAATTCGATATTCTCCCATCTATATTCTGGCTTTGGGGTCTGCTATGAGATGTGCACCCAGTGCCACTGGTTTTGGCATGAATGGCTGCAGCAGTTTTTGTGCGCTGGAGTACAGATTCTGTAAGTACGCACACAGAGAAACTAAGAAGTCAGTCGAAAGCCCTGGGTGGCTCAATGCCATGTTTGTATAAATCCAGCTGAACATATTTTCCTGCTTTAAAAATAATCTTCTGTGAGTGCAGGGGAAGTTTTTTTACACTTACATTATTCTTTTTTTAAACAAAAATACCAGATTCAGTTTATGCATGTTCTCACCACCAAGATTTTATGCATCTCCAGTGAGCAGGCTCCAGCCTCTCTTTAACAGGGAAGAGCCTGTGGATGGAACTACATTTAGGACAGAAGTACATTAGGTGATTTACAACAGGAATAGACAGGGCAGGGTGTTCCTGGTATGGCATAAGAGTGTTTTCAGGTTGCTGATGTCCAGTGCAAATTACAACTTTCAAAGAACTGTGTTGTTCTTGGAGGTCCAGGGCAGAGTGAGGCTCAGGACAGCAATAATACGAGGGACATACAGTCTGCTATCTATGCTACGCTACAGCCAGCTGCAGCTCAGGACCACATAGAGCAGAATAATTGCAGCTCAATTACTAGGCGCTTTTAATGCATGGTTATAGCACATGGTTAAAAAACCAGCTGTAGAATTACTGACGTTTAAAGAGTATGAACGGGCAGCCAACTTTGCACAGCCTGGGCTTTGAATAGCTATGTACACCTCTGCTAAACTGGGGTAAAAATATTGTGGGTTTTTTAATTGAATGCCTTAACAGATAGCATACGATCACTTTGAATGCACATGACAACATGGCAACCAGAAGCTGTGTTAAGAAAGATGATCACACCTGTTCCCCCACAAAGAGTTATTCACTGCTTCTTTAGCCGTTGTCTGCAAGGACCCCATTTTAACATGCGCATTGGAGGACCCTGAGGAAGCCTGGGAAGGGGAATAGTCTGAGTAAGTGCCTGAGGAAACGCTGTTATTCAGACAATGGATCTTATCTGCTTCAGACTCATCTGTCGATTCTGAAACAAAGCACAGCAAATGTTTTCAGGCGGTGGTATTTGAAAATTAAACTCCAGAAAAATACATTTTAAAATTGATACTATGGAGATATATATATATATGTAAATACACGTGCACAAATATGCATGTAATACGTTTTCAAATCAGAATGAAGTGTAGAACATCTTAAGTAATATGTCTATCTGTGTACATTCCATATGCTTTCATCTAAAATGTTGTAAGTCAAGTTAGTACCTTTCTTCTCTTTACCCAGAAGAACAAGTTTGGGTGGGTACAACGGAGTCTCTGGCATGGAAGGACGAAGTTCCCCTATCCTCATCTCACTGGCAGGATGTCCAAAGGCATCCTGAGGAATATAATAATGTAGAGTAAACATAGGAAACAGAATCCACTTCAAACTGCAACGAACAAATATTTCACAGCCTTCTTTTCATGAATGTGACAACACACCAAAACCCTGCCACATGGGTAGTGTCTAATCACGCTGATTTGTCAGCTGAAAATTCTAATTAGTCCTACATAAATACTTGTAAAAATTATGGTGATGTGTTAATTCTGAAAATGTGGACAAAACAGATGGAACTTGCAAGATACATCAAGGCCATGTAAACATTTTTGATGAAGTAAAGGTCACAAAAATGCAAGCTGCCAGTAGAAAAAAAAAATTAGAATAAACAATTACTTCTTATTTCAGGAGTAAGTATTCCTCATTCATTTACTTGTGGCACAAGTCCTTCCACAGATTCAACTGTCCCTATAGCTATACTTAATTAAAATTACTTTGTCTCTAAAGAGCTTTTTGCTAAATTAAAATTATACAGATTTCATAAACTTCTCACTGAGAGTTCAGCGGATCTGGACTTTCAAAGACTGCCCCACACAACTGTTTTGCTGTTCTAGCCAGCAACAGAATATATATTGAAAATAACACGAGTTAAAAAGTGGGGAAAAAAGTGAGATGTAGTCCTAGGATGAGATACTTTAAATTAGGACATTTAAATTAGGCTTACAGGATAGCTAGAAGGGAATAAAGACACAAACAGGGAATCTGTGACATTTCTTACCCCTGGAAGAAAGTTCAGGAATGAGAAAGATGCTGACCTGAAGATAGGTGTCTTGGGGAGACAGGGTAGGGGGAGACACTTACTGGAGGAATGATACTGGTAACCCTGCCCTCAGGAAAGGGAGATGGAGAACGAGCAATATGGGAAACCCTCTTTGTGGGTGTTGGTGCAGGGGCTCAGGGAAATGCAATGGAAAGGAACTGGTGGAGATGGGCATGGCAACACTGGAAAGTCATGCCAATGCCAGTCAAGGTCCTTGTGGGGAGGGGTACGAGAAACTTGCATCATCTCAGGAGTGAGAGGATGAGCTGTGATTTCGTAAAGAGGATAGAAGTTGGAGAAGGAGAGTATCTAATAGAAAAGAGGAAGTTCTGGAGAGATATTAGGAGAAAACCGGTAATTAGTAGTATAAATGAGGAAGAAAATGGTTAGGAGAAAAATATTTAGGAGGGAACTTACACTAATGGAGACACTATGAGGATCTCTGTACCCTGACATTTTGTTGTTAAAAGGTACTCCAGTGATTTTGCAGAGTGAAGTGAACAAAGGAAAGAGATGTAATATTTAGAGAAACAATTTAAAGTGGAGTACCAAAACCACGTTATTAAAATGTGAAATGCTACAATATTTTTTTAAATTTACTTGCTTTTACTCATAAGGAGAAAACTTTCAGAGGTTTACTCTCCATTAACTATTTTTTGTAGTAACAGTGGAAACAGAGACTTGCAGAAGCATTTGCCACGTGATTTATCCTTGAAGAATATAATTATATTTACACAACAGACATTTCAATCCTTCTGCATTTGGTGTTCTACTGGAGTTAGTACCGTACCAAAACAGCAAAGAACAGGTATCTTCACAGCCCATTTAATTAACCCCCTCAGTGCTAACAATTAAGCAAATATAGCTACATACCGATTCTTACATGGTGTAATATATTCAAGACTTTAAACTACTTTCACATGCAGAGATCCTTTGTTGTGTGTGGTATTTCTTACATAACAGTAGTGATGTACATACAACTTAAAGCTAACAACAGTGCAACAGCATTTTTCCTGTGCAGCACAATCACTTTCTAGTGCAGTGTAACTAACTTATGCAAAACTATTTTCTGAGAAATAAAAAAGTGCGTAGCATTCACAGAGCGTGAAATTCTCCACCTTTGAAGCACGGTGCATGTTAAGTTTCTTGTTGTACCTCTGTGCTTTTTGCATGCTCTTCTTTCTCTTTCCTGTCTGGGATTTCCAGAGTTGATCTATGAGTGCTGTCTTTATCAGACAGGTGACTCTTTTGGAATTCTTTATTTTCTCTATCTTCAACCTAGAATTTCAATATTGTGCCATGAAAATTCCAAAAGTTATAACTTAAAATAAAACTACTTGCTGTAAGATGGGAAGAACCAGCTGTTCCATTTTTTACATAATGATGATCACAGGTTTTTATTTCAGGTGCATGATTTTATGAAGTTTTCTATGTTATATTATTATTTTTTTTTCTTTTTAGCCCCTAGCCCAGCTATTCCAACAAAAATCAATAGACTTTTGAAAGAACTAGTCTGGCATTTGTGAATATGCCATGAAAGTAAATATGCTGTAAAAAACCAAAATCACATTCCATTTAAGTCTACTCTGTTTAAGAGGACTTTTTTTCTTACACACCCAAAAAGAAAAAGGTAATAGAAAAAAAAAAGTATTATTAATAGGATCAATTGCAAGAACAAAGGGAAGAGATAAATGCAACTGTGTTGCATCAGAACTTACTCCTCAGGACTAACCAGAGAAAAATATATGTAGAGGAGAGAAAAATATGGTAAGCTGTTTCCCATAAGAAAATACATGGTAAAACCCATTAAAATAACTGGGAGAGAGAAATATCACCAATTATTCATGCTGACAACACAAGAACATTAAATTATAATCTGGAGAGATGGAATTTTTAAAATAACCTAGCTCTTAGAATCTGCTTGCAAAGAATATAAAGTCTCTGAATAGAGCAGATTGGGGCTCTGGGAAGACACAGCACATACAAGGCAGAGGAACGCAGAACCATTAATGATGGATTCTTCCAGAGGAACAATTAAATATGTGTAGAGAGTTGGCAGCTCTTCTAAACTAGAGAAGGCTAGGGCAATCTGAAGAATGACAAGCTGGCTATAAAGAAATGGAGAGGCAAAGAAATAAGTGGATTAAGGCAACCGTTACTTGATCCAGATTTCACTAAAACTTTCATGAAAGAATAAAGGAGATCACAGAAAGCGTAGGAACAAATGCAACCAGATACCTGTCAGAATATCCCCAGATACAAGCAAGAGTAACTGAGGCAGAGGCATCTTTCCTGAGAGTCAGAGTTAGTGGTGCAGTTTCATAACAAAGCCTTGCTGAGCCACTTGCCCACATTACAGCCTCTGCCCAGAAAATGGCAGTGCTTCCACCTCTCAGCCCCTGTATGTCAACAGTTTCAACGTCCCATTAAGTAGTCTTCTCCTGAAAAAATCACAAAATGAATTCTATCTGAAGCTCAGCATGTGAAAGGCAAGTCACAGTTCTGGGTATTTTGCAATTACCAGACTGATCTAAATAAAATTCAGTCACCAATCCAGGAATGCACTGAAAGTCACCCCAAAACATGGGATTATCCCAGAAGAAAGCAGAGAGGAGGATCTTCCACCTGCTCCTAAATGTCTCCCACTTTTCTGGCTGCAGTGGCAGCTTCCAGAAAGGCCAGTTTCAGCAGACATTAGATCTGAAGGCTGTCCCAAACAGGATGTTAATAAAAGATATAACTGAACCGGTGGAAGGAAAGCTTCTGAATGTGGATATGGAATCTGACAGTGGGAGAACAAAGGAAACCCAACACAATTCCTACCTGCAGAGGTGATACAGCAGCCAGCACAATGCCAGCACTGATGTGATGAGCTCTCACCTTTTCAGCTCCAGCAAGCAATCTCAGGCATATGACAGAGCTTTAAGAGGAGACTTAAGTACCCAAGGAACAGACTGGGGCAGAGGTAGTTTTTGGAACTCCACATGGAAAGACATAGCAGATCCTGGAAAAAAAATGTCATCTGCAGGTAGGTTCTAATGATTGTTCCTGCCATGTGTCCCTTTGCCCTGCAGTCCGGTGGACCAGCAAGCAGTTGGAGGAATGCACACGTTAACCTTGCCTATTCCGATGACCAGAAATACGGCCAAGGGGATGCATCCAAGAACTGACCAGAACTACGTATCACCAAAGAAATCAAAGTTAGAGATTCCCAGTTTACAAAAATGTATTTCAGAATGAAAATTTCCATTTGCAGTAGTTTAGTCTCATACGGCTAGGCCTGTTAGCTGACATGGTCAGGATTCTGCAAAGATAAAGTGCAGATGCTTATCTGACCAGTTGTCAGTCACGTACTGCAGAGGATGGGAGACCTTCTAACATCATCCTCAGTTATAAACCATGGAGAGGCTCTTGTCCAGCTCTGTATGTGGTCTTCAGTGTGAGGACAGAAGTCTCAGTACTGCCCTGAGTTACGACACCCTGATACGTGAATTGCACTCTCTGTGCTCTCCCGTCTCTGGGGGAAACAAGCTTCTGTTGCTCTTTAGATGGAAATGCACCCAGCTGCACACATCTCACCAAGGTTGCTGCCAATAGAGGGAGTCTCAGGCCTTTTGCAAAAAAGTTACTTCATGGTCTATCAAACATAAACCAGGCCTACACACCGTATGTATATGAGTTTGTACAGAGTGCCATGTCCAGACACATAATACTGCACGTCCTGAGTCCTCATGCAGGTGGGGACAGACAGAGCAGTAGCCTCAGGGGGTCAAGTGATGTCTCAGACCGACTTTATGGAAAGTAGGCTTTACCTTGGATGTAGCCCTGAATAATGCCCCTCCAATCTAGACACTTAAATAAGGTCAAGCAGAAGTCAAAGTAACTCAAAATGAATTTTAAGACATTTGACATCCTATGTGAAGAAAGGTCTCTTGTGAGTCAGACCACCAGATGAGTAAATCATTATCTCCCTTCTCCTTTGACAAGAAGGCACCAAGGTCATAACGTCAGTAAAGATCTTTTGTGCCATGGAGAAACCAAAAACTCTATAATTAAGGTATTTCTGATTCCTGGTAAAATATAGGTAATTCTGTTGCAAAGAGCTTATCAAGCTATGGGCTTAAAGCAGATACAAACCAAAAATCTTTAAGACATATTCCTCTCCCCATCAGGAAAGGCTGACATTGTGTATCTCATTAGTGGAAAACAGCTCCCACAACAGACTTATCAACTGAGTCAATTGAAGCCAGACATCCTGGGGGAAAAAAAAGTGTGTAAGTCTTCCTGGAAAGGCAAGATGATCTTTTAAGACAGTCTTTGAAACTTTCACTAAAAACAAAAGAAAAAGAACACTCTTCTCCACCCCCCACCCCCCCACCCCCAGTAACAAAGTCAGAAGTTAAAAGGATTGAGGTCTTGTTTTGACCAAGAGCAGATGAAGGTCTCAGAAGATCCAATACAGCTGAGGCGGTGTTTTTCTAGCTGTTAGCACTAGCATCTGCATTGGATCACTCGAAGAATAACAACCTCCTTTTTATACAGTATTAATAAACCTGCTAGACAAAGGATGGAATGTTGTAGTTTGGACTAGAAAAGACTTTTTTTTAACCCAAAGCTGAGAGCTATATAGAAGTATTTCCAGTTTACTTGTCAATCCATACATATCAAGAATATTAACCATAAAGATCTTAATTGCTTATTTATGGTATTTCTCATTGTTTCTCATGGAAAGGCTACACAACACACTAAGTTATTGCAGACTTCTTTTTGTCCAAAATGCACATCTTTCAAAATGGCTTTGGACAATGAAGAGGTTTATTTTAATTGATGATTAATTAAGAAATTGCTTATTATAACTGAAGGTGGAAAATGATACAGGGGATTTGAAATGTAGCTTGTTACTCATTTCAGATGCTCCCTTTAATTATTTAGAAACAGTTTTGTGAAGAGGCATGTGTAAATAATTGCAAGATGACCCAAACGAGATCAGAAAAGAAACCAGCTTATCTGGCGTCTGAGGATGAAAAAGTGAGCATTGTACCTGAAATTAAATTACCGTGATATTAGAAACTGTCTTCAGTCTAAATCTATATCAGAAAACACCTGCATTTTCAAACTGTATTTTAACTTGAGGCTTGAGATCATGTCTCCTAATTATCTGAAAAGCAAATGGAGCTTAATTATGTTTTATTTAATGTGTTACAACTGAAATAATGCTAATACTATTCACAAAATCATTCACAATTTTTCTACAGTTTCTCGTACCTCTTCTTTATCTTCATTTAGGAAGCCAAAGAGAGTAAAATGTAGGGAAATTAAAATCTGAAAAAGTTCCACCATCTTCACTATTATAGTAATAGAAAATAAAAAATACGTCTTCACTGATATGATGGAAATTGTGATAGAAAACTTACTAGGAAACTACGATCACATTATTTAATTGCACTTCAGGACTTACCTCACGGTCGTCAGCAATTCAACTATTTTTATAAAACACTTTTTGTGATACTCATGCAATTAACAGTTCATGTACATGTGCAGAAAAGCTAGATATGATCATTTTTCTCTTGCAAAAGTGAATGCATTTTTATCAAAGCATGAAATGTAAGGATGAAATTTGTTTTACTCTTTTTCTGTGTTAGAACACAGTATGTGGTCACACAAGCATTTCAGAGTAACTACCATCTTATGGTGTTGCTGCCATTTGCTCTTTCTTTACACCTCCATAATGGAGGCTTCACTGGGCTCTGCACACTCACAGGACTCTGCTTGTGGCTCAGTTAACTGGGATGTTAACATTTTAGTTTAGCAACTTAACATTTAGTTTAACAGCAACTAAACCAGTAGAGCCACCTATTTCTGAAGCCTGCGTCACCAGACAGAGCCACATCCACCTAATGTCTTTGTCAACACAACATTGATTCAAATTCCAGGTAGATAAAATGTGTGTGTTCAGAGTAGGGATAATTAAAACCTGCAGAAAGTTAGTAAGAATATTCAAGTTCAAAAGCTAGAGGATACAAAATAAATAGCATGTATTCAGCAACAACAGCAGAACATGTCAATACTTATGCCACAACACAGAAGTTGGTTCCAGGGCCAGATTTACGTCGTAAGAAAGAATTTAATGAGTAAAAAAGAATAATGGTGGAACGTAAGATTTCAGATTTAGATAAAAACATGAACGACTTAACATAAATATTTTATTTTGAAGTACTAATCAAAACTGTGACTAGATTTGAAGAAAGTCTTCTGAAGCCATCTTAAGAGAAAACTTTGTTGGTTTTTTTTAAGAAATGAAAATGTTTAACTGTAAATAAAACACACAGTACTGACAGAGCAGCTACAGTGACTGTTGAATATGTAAGAACAGCCAATCTGTGTTAAGGATATGGAAAACTGAGGAAGAAAAATTCATGCATACATGACTAGCCAGAGACAGGGATATATCAAGGACAATGAATTTATCATAATGTTTAAATAAAAAAGGAGTGAAAAGGTAATGTGATAATTTTTTCCTTATTTATTTTTTTGAACATTAAGACTTCATAAATATTTTGAAGAATGCTGGTATTTTTGTAGACCTGTCCAAGCTTATAAACTATCAGTACATACTGCCAGGGTAGGAGATTTCCCTTATTTATAAATCATGCCTGCACAAAGTAAGTCGTCAGTGTGAATGTTAATGAGTAGATGGCCTCTGAGATCAAGCTTCAGCTATTTGTAACAGCTTTGCACAAGACTGCAGCATTTAGGGATTTACCTTTCAGTGACTGTATTCATGTTAGAGTAGAAGACTTTGTTACCATGCATACTGATCCACTTCTGGCAAACATATTAAGGGCTAGATTCTGCAACTCATTGTAAATCGCTATTCAGGGGGTGCCTCATCTAAACTTCCCTGCAGCCGAAGAAGCACTCGTGCTGACTTCATTAACTTTTCACAAGGTTAATTGGCTATCTACTACATGTAATGCAAATAGAAAGCAGAAGCTAATGGCATAGTAGGGTCAGACAGGACAAACTGATTTGTCATTAACATATCTGGCGCAAAAATACACTCACTTAAGTCTGAGATGTAAATCATGATCAGGTCCATTCTCCTGCTAATATGCAGGTCTCTCATATCATTACAATTTAGAAGAGTGTTTGTATGTATCAATACCAAAATTCAGATCTAGGTAGATTTAAAACCAAAAATTCAGTCTGATAAACTCCGTAGTATTGGGAACAAGAGCAACTCAACATAAACCTGAATTAACTTTACAGAATGAAACTAGAAACTATTAGGTATGAAGTTCACAGCAGATGCAGAATATCATTTGATGGAGTTATGTTAAAACCCCATCTCAAACTCTTGAGAGGAACAACGATCCTTTTACATTACCTCCACTGAAATCTCCTTTGGTGCCATGGGCCACTTGTGCTCATACTTTTCTTTCACAGTTTGTTCACTGTTCGCAGTTGGTGTTGAGTTCTCAGGCCGTACTCCATGGCTTGTTTTGCCCACCAGATTTTGAACTGATTTTACCATATTCTTTAAATCCTCCGGGTATGGAGTGGGGTAACGTTTTAGATTTATTTCAACCTGAACATTCATAAAAAGAATTAAAGCACAAATACAAAATGAAAACAAGCATGCAAACTAAAACCATGGTTACAGTACTATGGCTAAGTGCAAATTCCTCAAATTTTTAATTAATCTATTTGAGGTAATGTGTTACATATAGCTATCTTTATGGATTTTTGGACTGAAATTTGCTCTCAGTTAAACCTCTGTCAACCTATAATGGAATTTTAGTGACATAAAATAATGGATGAGAATGGTTCCCTATAAGCTTATCTTTTACCCTGTGAGGGTATTGTATTTTAATTCTACACTTTGCTTGAGAGTACTGACATATTAAATCACACTTTTTCAAAACAATACTGGTGTAAATGCAGAATTAATTTAGCTATGTTCAGTGTACTGAATTAATCTGAATTATCTATGGCAGCTGAGAACAGGATCTGATCTACTGGGAGCTATTTGCTCTTTGAGATGTATAATGTACGTACATGCACTCAAGTGTATCTTACGCTTTTTTCTTATACAGAAAATACAGGAAAACAGACTCAAACCCCTATAGAAAAGTCACCCTAAGTCACACTGAGTAGTACTTTAACTGTCAGACCTACAGATTTTCTAGAAAATTCCACATTGTAAGTTTACAATTTTTATCACTCAGAAGAAGAGAAACATTGTATTTCCCAAGTCCGAAGCAATCCTTATTTGAAGACAATTCTACAAAATCCCAGGGTTGAGTGAAAGGGGAAGAGTGGCTGAGAAGAATGGATGACATCACCCCTCGTCATGTGGCAAGACATCACATGACCAGCAAATTGATGGTGCAGCGAATGACCACATCAGGAATGATCCAAGCAGGAAAGACAACATACATGATGCTGAATTCTCCTTATACCTTTTCCACTGTGTTACAGACATATTTTTGTCTGCTGAACATCACGCCACATCATGAGAAGAGACGCTGAGGAAACTGAAGTGTGCATTCAAGCAAAGCATGACCTCAGCAAGGCTGCTTGGGCTGTGCAGGGAGTGTGGGCAGCTTGTAGGTCTGTCCCTTAAGCCTAGTCTGCAGCAGACACTTCCCTCTCCTCCACAGAGCACCTCCTGCTCTTCCCCGCTCCGTCCTTCGTGCTGCAAACCTGCCCTATCTCCACCGCCCTTCTCCAAGCTGCGAAAGATGATTGGGGCTTAAGTACCAAACTTGGGATTCACAAGGTGAACCAGCGAGCACACCTTGTGGAGCGGCAAGCCCACTGCTGAGTGCACGTAACAGCCACCAAATGCAGTCAGCTGAAATGCAGAAGGTGCTGGCTGAGTCTGCCACTCTCTTTGGGCCTGAATTAGGGGTGGAAGTGCAGTAAAATCCTTCAGTGGAGTAAAATTACAGCTCCCAGTGCAAGCTGTGCGTGACAGAATAACTGTTCCCAATTATGAGGCTGTGAAATTTGAAATTACTCCACATTTACCATCAGATAAGTATTTGGAAGCATTTACCACAAAGAAGCTTTTAGCTCATTGTGTACATGAGGTAAGGAAAGGGAGCTTACTTTTAATAGCTCACTATTATAGCTGTTGGATTTTAAATTCCTAAGAAGTTAGGAAAAATGGAATTTTGGATTCAAATGCATATGGTCCGTTGATAGGAATATTTTAGAAGCAAAAGCATGATTGATTTGGAAAATAAAACTGTATGAAACACTAGCATACAATTCTGAACCACAATAGAATAAACATTACGGATAATAGATTCTGACATGACTTTAACATAAAACATTAAAATGTATGACTATGATGTCATATGTTAATAAAGAGTTTCAACAGAAAACATAAATTAAGTCTGTAAAGCATTACTTAAGCTCTGGTTGATTTACGGTTGAAAGAAATCGTATTTAGGTGTGGCCTAATTAGGCAATTGCTGTTTCACAAAATTCAGACCATGATTTAAGTGTAAGGTCTACAGAAGAAAATAGCTAAAAGTCAAGTCACAGAGCAAATCCTCAATAAGTACTAGTCAAGGAAAAATTAACTAAAAGACTTCCATGAGATAGACAAGTCATAGACAGGGATTTCAGCAAGAGTTTCACATCACTGTGAGTGTTAATATTAAACATACTGGCAGCTGTGGTAGGTGATGCCCACTAGAATGCAGGTATTTTCACCACTGATTTCGACTTAACATCGCAGAGGAAATCTGTGCTCCCTGTCAATACAATTCTTATATGTTTAATACTACTTCAAAAGTAGCATGACCTTGAAAAGAGAATTTTCAAAGTTCAATATTCTTGATGGAAGAAGTTACTGAACAATTTAAATTACCAAATCTATTTGAACATATAGTTGGCTGAGAGTTCAGTTTTAACTATGAAAGATAAAAAATGAAAACTATGAATGCTTTTATAAAAAGCTACCAATGTTTATAGTTACCACCTACTGATTATTTAAATTAACCTTCACATTCATCCCATAAAAGTCTGGTGAAACTGCTAAAAATGTACATTTTAAAACCTTCCTAAGACCTATTGCAACACATGGATGGAGTGACACACACACTAAGTTCTCAAAAGGTTCCAGCAATTAGCTTTTAGTTCATGTGCATGCATCCAAACACAGGCTGGTGAACAGTCCAGTCAAAGAACTCTTTACAACACTTTTATGGTCATTCATATATAGAGATGAATTGGCATTACTGGGAAAGGGCACAGAAGGATGCCAATAAGCATTTCTATCTTCTTAATAGTAATTGAATTTGAGCTCATTTTTTCATGGCTTGGGCAAAAAGGTTGTTTTCCGTGATAGGAAAAAGTGCCCCACACACCTTCAGTGGGAAATCTTTTCCTTTCTCAGCCTGGCAAGATTTCCCAGGTTTGAACAACATAATTTTTCTACTTTCAGTTTTTACAAACTGCAGGTATTTATGGGTATCTGGTATACGAGAGAGGAGAAATGCTCTCTTCAAGGTACACAGGTGGGAGGAAGTATCTGATCAGCTCCTACCTCCCTGCTTAGCTTTTAATTTAATAATTCTTCTCTATATAAACAATAACTAGAATTCTTCTCTATATAAGCAATAACTATAGCATCAGCTGCAAAATTTAGTGTTTTGGACTGATGAGAAGATGTTAGGACCACTATGAAGGAGAGTAGCATTGGATTGCATATGGGAATAGAGGAATCTCATGCAGAAACAGAGTCATGTACTACGGCATTGGTTCATATCCACCCTCTATGGATGAGAGGGAGAACAGGTAAGTAAGAATTCCAGGAAATATATTTTAGTGTTGGACTCTTCCACAGCTAAGGAGCAGTGACACAAAGCATAAAGACTGTCTTGACCTTTGGGATGGCCAAGCCAAAATGTTACGGAGAGTGCAGCCCTGCGGGACATGGATCACCCATATGGTACACACCACCCCTTCTGCTGGCAGCGCGACCGGCCGCAGGCTGCCCTTCTCATGTTCTGCTGCAACAGGGCTGAGACTGCAGCTGATCAATGCACACCTCTGGGAATGCAAACCCTGCTCCACAGGTCACAACTTTGGCAGCAGCTGCCAGGGATGAGCAAACAGCCCAGGTAAGAACCACTGCAACCAGAGCATCCATTGCCTCCTGAACAGCTCTGGTACAGCACACCTGGGCCTGGGATCACACTACGAAGAGACATGTGCTCACAGCATGGGCACAGGCCAGCTATTTTTGTTAAATCTTGTTTCTAGGAAACCGGAAAATGTGCTACTGTGTCTCAGCTGTGTTTGTCTCCCCATTTTCCATACAGCAGATGGCAGCATTTGAACTGCGGTACAAGAACAGCATTCAGTGGGTGAAGGATTTATTTTTTCTACAAGAACAGTTTACTCAAAGGAAACATTTGTTTCAGTCATTCATAGTGTTCTGAGATATATTAAAACCAAAATGACTATCTAAGTGATATAATTCATATATTATGTTTCAATATTTAAAATAATGCTTGCAAATAACAGTACAATTAAATTCTATTATCTTAGAAATTGATTTCTATTTCTCTGTTAATATTTCAATTGTTTTGCACATTTGGATAGTCACATTACCCACAGTTAAAATTCTGGTAAGAAGTGGTGGAACAATATAAAACTCTCCCAGATGCTCTGTTTTCTGCTTATGACCCATAAATCTGCAGTTCATCCAGGGTAAAATTTCAGTTTATTCATTGTGAGGCAAAGGTTGCTTTTTGACTTCTGTGTTAGTAAAGCAGCAGAGTCCATTATCTCTGGTTACAAGAGTTAGATTAAAAGTCCTAATTGGGAAAAATATTAAAAAGAGAAATCTAAAATTTCCAAGAAGATCCAAATGCAATGTTAAATAGCTATTAATAACAGTGTTGTTAATTTTAAAAATTCAAATATGATTTAAATCTCCCCATACAATTTTTGTCTCTGGCAATACATTTTATGTTGGGTATTCTACTGCAGTTAAAAATTTGCAGTGTTATATGTTTATTCTGGGGTAATTCCTTCCTATCATTCAACAATAGAAATTTTCATGCCATGTAAACATAGATGGTCCTGACAATATCATTCTAACAATGTAACTGATTAAGGGCTCAATTGAAAACTCTGGAATTGTATTAATTTCAGATAAATGGGGGAGGATATTCATGTTTTGATCTTCATTTCTGTTAGGTTACAAAATTGATGAGAGATACCCTCTCCACTGCACATTCCTGTGTAACTCCATGAAGTTGCAAAGTTCTTGTCAACTTCCACTTTGAGAAGAATATGGAATCCCCTATGTGATCTAAATGTTTCTAAAGAACTAGGTGGTTGGACATGAATTCTAAGTCTCCGAACATTGTGTGTTAATTTTGTCTTCGTAACAAAACACCTGTCACAGTAGGAACCCAATATCAGGGTTATGGGCCTGAACTGACTTAAGAAATCAAAGTTTTGCTGTCTAGACAACAATAGCAAAAGCAAAATTGGTAATATGTACTTCAGGGAGAACAGATGTTATTTTCCTCAACTGCTGTACTTGAAACATGGTGACAAGTATTTTCTGGGTATTTAGAACACAAAAATAGTTCAAGTCAAGATCTGCAAATTGCACCCTGTCCATAATACGTGAATACCAGAATAAATCAAATAGAACTTACCTTAACTTTCCCTGCATTTTCCTCCTCTTCCTTTTTTTCTTCAAATTCAAAGGCAACAGTCATACGTTGCTGTCTCTGCTCCTCCCATAAAGTAGGGTTAAAACTATCACTGTCTGACTGGAAATCTACGGTTAAATTGCAAACAGCAACGCACAAGAAAAAGTAATTAGTGCACCCAACAGAAGATTGGAAATGATCTAAAAAGACATGTTTGTAGTTGGTCCTGTGATCCTGGATTATTGTTTTAAAACTGTTGAGGGGGCACTGAGAATAGTAACCGACAAACCATTACAAACAGAGTTTATTATTAAAACTGAAATGGTTTTGGAAGGGGTGGGAAGCAACAGGGTTTCAGGGCAGATCTGGAGCCGAGGGGCAAACTCTCTAACTTAACATAGGTATATTAGGAGCCAAACCCTCAGTTCTGCCAGGCTCAGAGCTCTAGGAGCTGGTCCACCACCCAGCTCTCCCTGACAGGTCCAGTGTCTCTGCAGGTTGAGCTGGCTCTGGCCAACAGCCTGTCCACACGGCAGCAAAGCATATCCTAGAATTTCTGTCCATGCACACTCAATTCCCAAGTTCAAACTGTTTATTCAAGGCCATTCTTCTGAGAATAAAAAAGTGTTTAAGAAAATGTAAATCTGATGGCCTGAGAATAACTGATTTGCAAACAGGATTCCTTTGTGTATGACAAAATACAGACTGTTATGTGTGCACCACTGGCTTTATGTCTCAGAAGAGACACACTCAGAACCACACCTGAAACCCCTTCCTCTCCGTCCCTCTGTTTTTTTTTCCTGCTATCTGAACAAGCACTGCTGATGGCGTTTTACCTTCATCACTGCGGGGTTGCTGGGGAAACATGTAGTTAGTCAGTACTCTCTGCTTTGTTTCTGGATGAGCCTCAGTTTGCAGTGGAATGAGAGCCTTGGACTGTACAGGAAAGGCAAAACAAAGAACCGTTAACTCAGAGCATGTGTGTTAACTGAGATGGGATTTTAGCATTTGATAAATAGAAAATGCAAGATTAATTAAAATTCTGTATGAAAATAAACTTCTCTATGGACTAAACCAAAGTATTAATCTTGTGGAAATGCCTCCCCTCCCATTCCTTTCTCCCCTGTAATTCCTACTGGGATCAACAGAAAAACACTAGATGTCAGAAATACTGACTGCATGTTCAGAGTCGTACCAGTGAGGAAGCTAAAGGATCAGCAGAACAGAGCTGCAACTATGCAGTTAAAACACCCACATTATGGCTGCGATCTATTTTAAGTTAGGACTAAAGAGGAGTAAATTCATGATAGTTAGTAGTACATCTGAGGGTAAACCTGGTGCAAGATGCTGGAGAATTTACATGGAGGTACTCTGAATATTCAGATGTTACTGTTGTGTTTTACTTTAATTGATTATTTTTTATTATTGCTTTGCTCTAATGTAGCATCTAGGAGTGACTGTCATAGTTCATAGAATAGAAATTAATCTATGCGATACCACAGAAAAGTCAAAATGCTGAAAAAGTATTGTATATTTAAAAGGAAGTGTATGTTCTGTGGCTGGGCTGAGGAGTCATGTATTGTTATTTTTTTAATGGAAATTAGAGTGAAAAAAATGAGAATCCTAATTTAACACATTAAAATTTACACATAATTTTCTGTTATCCCTCCCACTTCCCTCCCCTCCCTTCAGCTTTAAAAGTTTTCACTTAACTATAAAAGTAAAAAGTACATTTAAGGAGCAGTGAAATAAGCATGTACCAATGTAAATCTATTGACTGCATTGCTTTTGGCTTTCCTATGATTTGAGGGTACAAAAAAAAATGCCCTGTGGATAGGCATGGGCTCTGCTCTGAGCGTGGGTTCTGCAACCAAAAGTGCTCAGCAAAGGCGTACACAGGCGACCTCCTGCAAACAGGCAGCTGCAGGACCTGAGTCTCTACGGCTTTTTCATACAGATAGAAGGATGGATTAATTTCCAGAAGCACAGTAATTGGCCCCTGAAGAATTATCCTCATCAACTTCAGTTAGAGAGGTATAACATCTAACCATGGGCATTATTGCAAAGTGAGAAAGATGAGATTATGAGAATTTATTGAGATTATTGAAAACTGTTAGGTATATCGAACATTTCTAACATGGTACAAATTGAGTTTTTCTCCATTTAGAGTTAAATTGTTGAAGTCCAAAATTATTCTATCCACCAATCCTAGAAAGGATTGAGACTTATTTTAGTGCTCAGATGCTGGCTGAACTGTTTCTCAGCATTCATGTTACATAGTTTATTTTAAAATAGAATCCTAAGGAATATATAGTAGTGAAACCAAACCCCTTGGAACAAAGAAAGGCATACTTAAACTTAAAAGGAACTTAAATGAGAGTTTTCTCCAAAACAAGACTATGAGGTTTTGTGCACCTTTTACATGCTTAAACTCCCACTGACTTTAATATAATTTAAAATATGCAGACATGGAAGCATGGACAGAAAAAGGGAAAAGGAAGATGACAAGAATGGAGGCATACATGGAGTAAAGGATGCGACAAACTAGTAAGTTTGATAACAAAGTCTTACCTCTTGAATTTCTATTTACAAAATATTCTCTTGATACTTTTGGCTTGTATTTACTTACTACTTTTGCAAGGATATAGAAGGTTAGCTAGAAGCAAGTAATAAATCCTGCAAAGGTGATCTTTCCAAGGCAAAAAATGGCAGCCAGAAGAATCTATACCTTGGTATGAAAGCATGAAGCTGGAGTGGGAGCAAACACTTCTAAAATTGTACTACAATCATGTATTAAATTATAGGTTTCATTTACAGCCCTTACTAAGACCCCTAGTACTTTACTAAAGAAAATATGAATATAATAAATCATTACCTGGTTGTCAGAAAGCCACAAAGCTGCAAGTTCTTTAAGTTTAGTAAAAGTGAATGGTAAATTCTTCAGTCTGTAAATGACAATATTGGAACAACATGAATCCTTCATTTTCACAGTAGATTCTTTTAAAGTTTTGTATGTAGCATGTTTATCTTGATCATACTGAAATTGCTGTAACTTCATATCTTTATTCTTTCTCATTTTTTCCTAAAATATAGTATTTTATTAAGGGCATTCCACATTAAGAGTGACATTTGGAATCTAAAACTACTGACATCATACCCTAAAGGTACTCAGGAGATAGCAATATTTATGCCTTGGTATAATATTATATTGGACACATATATAATAATGGACATATAATATTGGACACATGTATATAATATATAATATCAGTATATTGGACATATAATGTAACCAAAGTTACAGCTTATAAGACAGAAATCAGAAGTAGTCTTGGTCCCAGGGAGACTTATAGGGAAGACCTAACAGTTTTCAGTGCAGCTAACTGAAATCCTTTTATTGGACATTTAAGTATTGGAACAGAAATACTCTAAGATTATTGAAAATTAATTTTTGCAGAAATGTTAGGAAAAAGATTAAAATAATATAAATATTCATAATGAACCTCAATGACAAAATTAAATGAAACAGTAAAAAAAATAGCATTTTAAGTATACATGTACACACATTACCTAAAAGTGATCTGAATGTGGGAACGGGGAAATGATGACTAGATGTTTGTGGAAACTTCATTCATGTTTTTCCCACTAACTAATTCTGAACATACTATTTTTACTTTCCAGTTTGCACCAACATGAGAGGGGTGTCCTAACCACATACTGATATTCTCCCATCGTCGTGTTACAGAAGGTTAAGGAGCTGTAGGAAGAAATGGACCAACCAAAGGACTGTCTATAAAGACAAAAGCTAAATGTGATCTAACAAAAAGAGGAAAAGCCCTTTTCTGAGAGAGTCAAACAACGCTTTACTGTGGAAAGAAAGGTTCTTACAGATACGTTCACTCACACCTCAGATAAAAGTCAGGCAATCTGCTGCCAGGTACTCCACCTGCACGGCATTGTCAGGAGAATCCTTTGCCCCTTTGCCAGCAAATAACTAACAATACTCCTACGGTCTTTTTCACTCTAAAAATCTATCTGTATTTCTGGGAGAAAAGCACCCTGGAAGCTTCTGTACACTGCCTCTATGCAGCACTTTGAAAGTGTATCCATTATGGAATTTAGGTGTATTTTTGCCACAAAGACATTAACATTAAAAATTGTGTTACTTTCCGAAAGCAACGTGTTACTGCAAGTAACACATTTTAAAGATTTTAATAAGAATACCTTATACTAAAAATGACATCTATAAAAGTGAAATAAATTGACATGAATGTATACACATACATAGTGTGCTATGACATAATCTCCAATTAAATGCCTGTATAGAGTGGTTTTACATGTATGTGCATGATTAAACCTAGAATTAATGCCATAAGAAAGTAAGGAATGCCTAAACTACCTGAAATTTAGTTTTCATTCCTGTCTTATAATAAAATAAATACTGCAATGTGGAATAGTGCAGTATTTCACATTCTTTATAAATTAAGGTTACAAGTTTAAGCTTTAACAGTTAACATAGAGATTATTAAAGTGTTTCTCCAGATGTCTTATTCAGAGCTTTTTTTCCTATGCAAAAAGAGAAAAACTTTTGGTTTTCAAGTGATACCTTTTCTTTACACTTTAGGATGCAGTACCTGTATTAAAAAACTGGCTAGATGGCTGAGCCCAGAGAGTTGTGGAGAATGGAGTTAAATCCAGTTGGTGACAAGTGGTGTTCCCCAGGGCTCAGTTTCGGGGCAAGTCTTGTTCACTATCTTTATCAATGATCTGGATGAGGGGATTGAGTGCACCCTCAGTAAGTTTGCAGATGACACCAATTTGGGCGGGAGTGTCGATCTGCTCGAGGGTAGGAAGGCTCTGCAGAGGGACCCAGACAGGCTGGGCAATGGGCCAAGGCCAGTTGTATGAGGTTCAACAAGGCCAAGTGCCGGGTACTGCACTTGGGTTGCAACAACCCCATGCGACGCTACAGGCTTAGGGATGAGTGGCTGGAAAGCTGCCTGGCAGAAAAGGACCCAGGGGTGTTGGTTGGCAGCCAGCCGAATTATGAGCCAGCAGTGTGCACAGGTGGCCAAGAATGCCAATGGCATCCTGGCTTGTATCAGGAATAGTGTGGCCAGCAGGACGAGGTAAGTCATCCTTCCCCTGTAACTCGGCACTGCAGAGGCCGCACCTTGAAGACTGTGTTCAGTTTTGGGCCCCTCACTACAGGAAAGATGCATTGCTGGAACATGTCCAGAGGAGAGCAATGAAGCTGATGAGGGGTCTGGAGCACAAGTCTTCTGAGGCGCGGCTGAGGGAACTGGGGTTGTTTAGCCTGGAGAAGAGGAGGCTGAGGGGAGACCTTATCACTCTCTACAACTGCCTGAAAGGAGGCTGTAGTGAGGTGGGCATTGGTCTCTTCTCCCAGGTAACAAGTGATAAGATGAGAGGAAATGGCCTCAAGTTGCACCAGGGGAGGTTTCAATTGGGTATTAGAAAAAAATTCTCTACTGAAAGAGTGGTCAAACATTGGAACAGGCTGCCCAGAGAGGTGGTGGAGTTGTCATCCCCAGAGGTGTTAAAAAAAACGTGTAAATGTGGCACTTCAGGACATGGTTGAGTAGGCATGGTGGTGTTGGTTGACAGTTGGACTTGATGATTTTACAGGTCTTTTCCAACCTTAATGATTCTATGATTCTATTCTAATGTAAGTTTCAAAATGATACAGAAACCTTTGTCAGCAGAGGGTTACTGGTGATGTTTCCAATGCACTCAAGTTAAGTATTGTGTATCAAAGGAAGAAGCAAAATTGGTAAGCGTGCTTCAGCAGTGATGTGTGGCAATGGGATCTCCCAGCTGGTTTATCATTTCCATATTCAAAAAAAATAAAGAACTGTTTATTTTTAGTTCTTTGTCCATAAGCCTGGATACCTGTTTTTAAACATCTGAAAAGATCTGATTTTAAGGAGTCTTTAAAAGAAAAAAATCTCAAATTAGAGATGAAAGAATGGAAGCACTCAAAATCATTCCTGTTTTTTGAAAATTTTCAACCAAGATAAGCCTCAGACTTTCTTTTAATTGCAATTTGGTTTTGCAAGTTCAAGAGTGCTTTTTAAATTGTGTACTGTAGGAATATTTCTCCTTCATCCATACTAACCAATGCACATGCAAACACTCTAACTGAATTACCAAGTGATTTTGCATTATACTCACTTTCAAAACAAGGCCCATGATAATTGTCACTTACACTGTGTTAGTTTAACCACGAAAGGTAAATACATAATTGTTTTTTCTAGCTTCATCAGTCAAAATAAAGGTATACTACAGCTACAAAGGATATCAAATAGTTGTTATGCATGGATGTAGGTTGATTACTTTCTACATCCTATAGGCCAGATCCTATTTGGTATAAATCAGCATACCTCTGCTGATTTCAAAAACTAACTCACATCATCCTTAGTAAAGGATTTAGCCTCCTCTGAAGAGAAGACTGTTCATCAGTAATTGCAAAAAAAAGTGATTAATCTGCACTGCTTCCATTTATCTAATACATGACTGCAATCAGATACCAGTCCAAAGAAATATGAAGGTTATGGCTGTGCTATTCAACAGAGAGCTTTTCTTTTATGTTTAAATGCTGAAACTTCTCACTAGAGAGTTTGGAAAATTACATATGTAATAGTTTTTATAAATCTAAGGGAAAATATATTCACAATACTAGATGAAACTTTAATTGGTGCACAGATAGTTAATTAAGAAGATGTCCAAATTAAATTAACTTAGAATTCAAAGGCAAACTATGCTGTACCAATATGACTTATTCTTACTATGGATGGTATTTCACTCAGCCTGAATAACCTTTGCATGAGGCCATTTCTCTACTGGAAGGTGCTGTTTGACCGTTTCAGAGCAACTTCAGCCCAGCAGTCAGGACTGGGAATAGGACTAATAGAAATATAGTCATAGACCCTGCACCCATTCCTGAATGGCACCCAGAGACATGAAGTCTGTGGGAAAACAATCTCTCTGAATCTTCAGAACAATTACACTAATTCTTACACTTGGCAGCCACCCGCTGTGCTTGCCTTCTTGCATGAGCAACACTTTGATTCCTGTGCAATTTTTTAATCACGAATAACTTCAATTTGCAAACTCTTAAACTGATTTGTAAAAAGAGCTGAGAATGCAATAGCCGAATCAGAGAAAACTCTCAGTTCTATAGCGATTATCTGTATTCATGTTAATTAGTTTAAATACAGGTAAAATCATGTATGCCATTGGTAAAGTTTAAAAGTTACTACTAAAATTTTTCTTTTAAGGTAAATCCTGAAGCACTAACTGATTTTTCAGGAAAACAACTACCTGCAGTAATAGTTTGGAAAAGCACGACATGCATATGTTCTTTCTATAGTGTTTAATTTTCACATAGAAAATGTTTTTGTATGAGAAAAAAGGAGAAGAAATTTCCCCTGAAGTTCCTCAGGTGAATAAAAACCAACTAAACTAAAACCAGCACACTTTTTGAAATGACACCCCTAAACGTTAAACCATTGTACCATGTGACTTCACAGCCTCAAAGAAGCTACATGTCCAAGTGTTACGCCATTCTGGAATGAAAATTTTAGAATAACTCCTTCCATCGTTAATCCTAGATTACACCTTTTGCATCATCTGCGAAGTTCTTAAGGGCTAAATACTTTACAAGTAAGCTAATGAATATTGTTCACGGAACACAAGAAAAGCAAAGAAAATGTCATTGATACTGTTTAAATACAAAAAATATCAAATGTTGATATTTGAGGGGTCTTATGGGGCAAAGGTAGTCTTTGCTTTTATTGTAAGTCTACTGACAGACCTTTCTTTCTTGATAATAATTGTTTTTCTCATAGTTTTGTAAAATAACCCACTACATATTTGTACCAGGTACTAAATTTTGTTTTTGTTATGCCCTGAGTAAGGAAGC